AGGATCTACAAAGCAAAAGTATGTTTTGATGTCCATTCAAGAAAAGGCCCACCGGCGGCCGAGCGGTAAAGTCGCTGAACACTGGTAGTTCGGTGTGAGGTTCGAAGCCCGCGAACGGGCTGGCTGCGTGGGTGTTTTCGTCATGCGTAACGTGTATACGAGCCAGTTTCCCTTAGAAAGTCCTCCACGAAGACATCCCTCCCCTTAGGCAGATAGCCCTAGTGTGCTTTGCCATAATTAAATACACACACACCATTCAACAAAAAGTGGAATTGTTGCAAAAAAATTAATATATATCTGTCTTAAAATTATGCGAGGAGTATGGCATTGGAAAGTCAACTGCATATGATGTAACAGAAAAAGGAACTTTTTGAATTTTTGTGGGTTCCAACACCTCACTCACAGTGAAAATAACAGGAAAATTATTCGCTGTGCTAGAATGGTCAGACAGAGACACTTTGAGGGCATGCCATTGATGGGTCCAATATTTCAAGCCAAAATATTTCATGAAGAAATGAACTTGAAAACTGAGGGCAGATATTTGATAGATTGTTAACCAAATTTAACAATCGCCATGGTATAATGCAATTAAAAATTTCAGTTGAAAAAGCTTCAGCTAATACTGAAGTTGCTGAACTACTTGCAGATGAATTCATTGCACTCATTAATAGTGAAACGTTATCTCCAGAACAAATTTACAACACTGATAAAACTGGTCTTTTTTGGCAATATGTTCTGCAAAATACCATGGCAACCTCTACAGGAAAGGCTCCAAGTGGTGTAAAAAATTCCAAAGCTAGACTAATAATTTTAGCAGGCACAAATGTTGCAGGAACGCACAAGTGTAAACTTGTCGTAATTGGAAAAAATACATGACCTTGAGCATTTAAAGGAGTAAAGATATATCATGCAAATAAAAGAGCACAGATGACACAAGCGTTAATGTATGAGTGGTTTGAAAAATCGTTTCATACCCAAGGCTCGGCAAAATTTGAATTCGGTTGGTTTACCTGATGATGTAAGAACTGTTCTGATTGTAGATAACTGTTTATCTCATATTTCACATGAAGAAATGAAATGTATATGTTAATGAAAGATAATGTATCTGTGTTATTGTTTCTACCAAACTGTATGTCCATCGTTCAGCCTATAGATATTGGTTTAGTGCGTGCACTCGAGGGAAAATATAAAGTCTTATTTTTCAAATCCATGTTAAATTTCTTGAATAATGGCAAGACTATTCAAGAATTTTTGAAATATTTTAACATAAAATCTGCTGTGTGGAGCATTGCAACATCGTGGGTAGATGTGCCTCCAGACACTTCAAAAAATATGTGGCATAATTTATGGCCAGCTACCATATTTCGTAATGAGAATGATGAAGATGATAGCCATGAATTTTTGAGGGCTTTTTTGGATATTGCAGACCACAGGTTAAATTTTAAAATTAATGGATTTTGTAAAGAAATGTGGAGAAGCGGTAATAAATGCAGATGATATAACAAAGTTTTTCATTGCGATGACAATGCTCCTATCATCAATCAATCAACGGACGGTGAAATCTGTAGAATGGTTCTAAATGTAGAAAATACTGCTGCCAATAGTGATGAAAGAGACAGAGAGGTTACTGAAAATGAAAAAAAAATTGATTGACAAGTTAATCAGAATTCTCGAAACATGGCAATACCATGGCAACTACAAGACTTCCAACAGTGGAAATCTGTAACTGAACAAGAGATTATGTCCATCTATAGAATTGAAGAGAAAGTATTAACACAAAAAACGAAGCAACTTAAATAATTTACATTCAAATAAGTGTATAATAAATAAATATTAAGTTTTTTTTTGTGAATTTTGATACCCTTTAGATCATAAATGCTTCATTATTTCATAAATGATGATTTCATATTTTTAATTGTATAATTTATGCTTGCCATCTTACTAGATTTAATCTGATCATCTAATATCTGGAAAAATTCCAAATCTGGAATCGCTGAAATCCCATCAAGTCCGAATCTTGGACTTTGTACTGTAATAAGTTTTCTTAGTTTGGCAAAAAATTTGAAAGTGAAGAACTGAAGAGAACTCCTATTATATTATAATAGTAATGCTTTAGGGATTCCAAATATATATATCTTTTTTTTTTAAACCTGTCAGAGTTGTATGGAATTAGCAAGTTTTTGTGGTTTCAAATGGTGCCATAACTAAATTTATTCTCAGCACAGCCACTGCACACTACATGGCTAGACTGAAATTTTCTTAAAAGACATTTGGAAAACCTGGAAAAATCAGGGAATTTCATTCTCCTGTTTGAGTGGCAACCCTGTATTAACTAAAGTGTGTTAAAATTTTATGAGTGTAAAATCTTTCAAAGAAATCTAATTCATGAATTAATAAATCAAATTTCTTCAGTACTTTTGATAGAATTGAAATAAAATAGTAATTAAAGACCAACTATCATTTGCTATTTAAGTTTTCTTTCTTTTTTTTTTTCTTTTCTTTTTTTTTTTTTTTTATCTTTAACATGGGATTTGTGTTCCTTAATGTGAAATTTAAATTATGTTCTAGTTTGGCTGATATTCATTTAACAATACTGGGAAAAAAAAAAAAAAAACCTTATAAATTCTGCCAAAAGTTAAATCAGAAGATAAGATCTTTAAAGAATGAACAGTGAATTTTATTGACAGATGAGAAAATAACCTGCAGTTACACTTCTGGAGAATCCAAGCAGTTTTGTAAGTAATAGAAGGGAAAAAATACTGTGTCAACAAGGTTATCATAATTATTTCTGGCACTTGCACAATATCCATCTAACCGTGAAAGTTGGCAGAAATCCTGTCAAAGTTGCACCAATTATTCATACAGAATTTTGAACTTGCTTTACGTCTGCACTTCATAAAAAGGATTTTGTCAATTTATGCTATTCTGTTAGTCTTTCAGTTTTATTGAAAGCTCTGTTTAGAATGTTATGAGTACCAACTTCTAGGAAGTAAATTGTTTCAATCTGTTACAGTTTTATTGATCATATCCAGGCATTCTTTTCCCTATATAAACAGCTGTTAATTATCTCATCCAGCTGTAAATGAACGAAGTGCAGTCATAAATGTGAATCTACAGCCCTTGAACAACATTCCTTTTTGAATGGATATCCTCTTGCCACAATTTTTTATGTTGGATCGCCGTTGTTTATCCATTTCAAATAAAGTACCTAATAGTGTCATTAATACCCACTTTTTTATTGTATGATACCATATCTTTAAAAGTAATCCATAGCTTGCTGTTCTCTAGAAGGCAAGCTCCAAATTTTAATATTTTTTTTATCAAAATGCAAGGGAAAAATACAGCAATAACCATTATAAAAACAAAAGAAGACTTATTAAGGTGAGTTACATCAGACGAAAGTGCAGATGTTATAAGTGTGTTATTATGTTACGCTTATCTATAATTGTTGCTAAATCGTGCTGTTTTCTATGGTCAGTGGGATAATAAGCAACTACCTGATTTTTCATAGGAGTATCTTTTGGTGTGTAAAGGAGAATTTTTTAAAGGCTCTATCCGTAATTCTGGAAAAAATCCTTTGGTAACAGATGGAGACTTTTTCCATAGCTGTTGATAAAGCCTTAGAATCTTTTTTTCAAATGATTCGAGTTTCCAGGCAAAACTGGAAAGGATATGCATTCAGAATACTCCTGAGTGAATATATGGTTATGATTGTTCAAGGATTAGAATTGTTTAAGACTTCCACACTGATTATAAATACAAATATCAAAAATGCATTTTCTGTTATTATTGTTATATTGAACAATTGAGTGAAAGTACACTAGTCAAAATGTTTTAATGAGTTGATAAATGTATAAAAATTCTGGGAGTAAAAGATAATCCAATCCAACTGTTATGGTAACTAATAAATAAATCATTGCTCAAACTCTTTTTTTCACATGTAGTTCTACTTTTTTCACATTATGGTTTATTTTAAACATGTGGTATGATGTATCAGTTAATCCAAGAAATTAATTTTGAAATAAGGAGGGAATTTTTTCTTTATTTCTGTACTATCAACTATCCTGAACAATATTTTGTTATTACGGATTTAGAGATATCAAAAGTTTGTTGCAAATTTTACGAAGTAATAAATTGAAGTAGAGTTGTTAAGTTTAATTCTAAGTTAGACGTTTTGATTTAAAAATTTCTTAACAATATTAAGTTGTCCTTTTTAATTAAGTAATTTACAAATAAAGTATGTTTATTAAAAATTACTGTTTGTATAATTAGTTTTCCTTATCTCTATATTTTTTCATGGAAATAGTGTGTCAAATAAAAATGACTGATAATGAGTGAATGACTAGCTGATGAACTCTAGAAGTTTGGTCTTATATAAAGATCTGATTCTAGTAAATGGGCTGGTTGCCTGAGCACTTTTATAGATTTTGTAATGTGTAATACGAAAACAAGCCTTCTTTAGAAATTTAACCATGAAAGCATCCCTTTCTTTATGTAAAGAGTAATAGCATGTTTTGCTCTAATTGATCAAATAAATTTTTAAAAATGGTATAGATAAAGCATATTTAAATTCATACTTTTATTGTAATGTAAACTTGGTGTATAGCAGTAAAATTAATATGAAATAATCATTTTGAGAAGTTTTAAAGTAAGTGATGCTATTTTTTACATTATTTATAATCTCCAAGTTTGAAATATCCCCCATAAAGTTCTAACTTTTGACTTTGCAAGTAAGGACCTGAATTATATGTGATTCTAAATATTTATATCACACCATTGAAAAAATACTGATTCCTGTAGTCAATGATTTGAATCTCAAGTATCACTTTTAAGGGAAATATTTTATAAGTCATTTTTATTTTGCTGAAGATTAAATGTAATAGATTTATTATGCTGTACACATAAATTTAAATATTGAATGAATTATTTATAATTTCTACATATAAGCATTTTACTAAATGCTTAAATATCTTAAATTTTTAATTGTATTTTTTATGAAGGAAAACAGAAAGCAAGCTTTGGAGTTTCCTGGAAGTGCATTAAGTATAAATACATTAGATGATGTGGAAGAAAGTAGTACTGTAGTAGCAGATGCTCCGAATGTTAATGATTTAAATGATGCAACAAAGGAACTATATTCAACATATTATCAAGTTCCAAACAAATCGTATGATCCTGACCTTTTAATTACTAGTTACAGAGAACAGGTATGCATGTTTTTTTATACATATAAAATTGAGTTATTCATACAATTTTTAGTTAAATTGTTTCATTAGTATGCATGTTTTTTTATACATATAAAATTGAGTTATTCATACAATTTTCAGTTAAATTGTTTCATTGCAGTAAGATTTATAATCATCTTTTTATTTCCTATTTAAGGATATCTGTGACTGAGTTTCTTGCATCAACTAATCTGCATATTTAAGATGCAGAAGCTGTATTTATAAATTTATTATAAATTCTCGTGTTTAATTAAAATAATCAAACCCGTTGATGTCTTTGATAAACCTGTGCTGAATAAAAGAAGTTTCTACTTCCTTGAATTCCAGGAATCTTAACTATTTTAAAAGGAATGGACCATATATATCACTCAAATCTTGCAAAATTGTTCAAGTTTCAAATATTAGAATCTTTGTGCTCTTTTCATCATTCAAATATTTCGAAACCTAACTTAAAAAATTGTTAAACATTTTAACTCAAAACTTTGAAAAAGTGTTATTGACATCTAGTTGAAACATTCATTAAAATAAAAGAATGATGTTTTTAAATTCAGTAGACCTAGATTATCAATATCATGTTATGGCTTTTGTCGCACTCTTAATTTTTGATTAAGACAAATTCTGGGGGGGGGGAACTGTTAAAAAATTGTAAATGTCTTTTTTTTTTTTTTTTTTTTTGACATATTTTATTGAGAAAATGAGTTACAAGATTTAAGATTTTTAATTATGTACTTCGTTTACTAAATTTCTTCTGATTCTTCGAAATTAATGTATATTTATTTTTAAAAACTGGATTCTCAGATATGTTTCTTATTATATGCAAATAAATTAGATATTTTAATATTAAAAAGGCGTTTTCTCTTTTTGTCTTATTCTTGCATGAATAATTCAAGAGATATGAAGATATTTTTGGATTTGAAAAGGATTGTCACATTTATGTATTTTTAGTCATCATGTTTCTATGGTGTTAAGAAACTAAAATGAAAACTTTAATTTAAATCTAGCTGTTAATTCTCACTTTTTTATTTATAGCCATTCTGTTCTAATTTATTTTCATTTGTTAAAAAAACCTCTTTCAGCATCTCGTAATATTTCAGTAAAATTTGCAAGATTATGCAACTGTAAAAAGGCTAATAAAATTAACATGTAAAGAATAATAAATACCTTAAGGAGCCAAGAACCTTTAAAATATCAAAATATCCTCAAAATACAGCACATTTTAAAATTCAATACCTTTGAAAGTAATTTATGAGCATAAAATTTTATATATTTCTTTCTATATCCATAATAAATGTATGACATGTAACTATAAAAATTTCAAGATTATAAATTCGAGACATTAATTTTTATAATTTGCTATGCGATACATAATTTTATTTTACAATTTGGCAGACTTTAGAAATTGACACATATTGTTTTTAATTAAGTGCTGCATGTGTTCTAAGAGTTTCTTTCACATATTTCTCCTTTGATGAAAAGTATTTTGCAAAAAAAAAGGAGAAAAACCTCTCATATTGTCACATGGAATGTTTAACCCTTTCAGCGTTACAACCGCAAAATTCCGTACAGAAGGTTGCCTTCCACATTCATTACACATGAAAATTTCTGCTAGCTTTTAATGTATCGGATTTCAGTTTGGATGCATATTGGAAGAAAAGGAATCAAGGTACAAAATGAAAGAGTTATTTTTTAATTAAAATCAAGAAAATATCACTTATTCGTGACATTTTGAGGAACTTTGAAATTTCCGGGCTAAACCCGTAACGCTCAGAAGGTTAAAGCATTAAATTGCAAGCAAAGTTAATTTATTCTTGAGTTTTATACAGCATAAATTGGTGTAATCCCCATATTTCAAATATTTTCATTTTGAAATGATAACATTGATAATTCTGCAGTTTTTCAAATCAAAGTGCATTTTCTTTTAATTATTTTTTTTTCTGCTGATATGGAGTGACTTTAATCAAAGCAAATGTTTACACAGTTTCTGCTCACATTATGTAATTCTAGCATGTATTGTAGCATAAATGTTGTTTCCGTGCATTGCTAAGAATGGAGAATTTCGTTTTCATCAACTTATGCAATTTTATTTAAAAAAAGCGGAGAAAATAAAAGTCAAACTGCTTGTAAAATTTATGCTATATATGGACAAAATGTTATTTCTGATGACCTAGTTCAAAAGTGGTTCAAGAAGTTTAAGCATGGAAATTTCAACTTTGAAGATGATGCCTGCTCTGGATGACCATCCTATGTAAATAAGGGCATATTAAAAAAAGCAATCACTAAAAATTTATCATTTTTGTATGGTCACGTATTAAAAGTATTTTATACTATGAATTGTTGTCAGCAAATCTGGCTAGAAATTCTGAAAAATACTGTTCCTAAATTGGAGTTTTAAAAGCAGAAATTGAAGCAAAGTGCACAGAACTGCCCAATTGTTGAGGTGTTGTCTTCTATCATGACAATACTTGAATCCACATTTCTACAAATTTTAGACAGAGACTTGTTGAATATGGCTGGGATGTTTTATATTACTTAATATATTAGACCTCATCCTCTTGGATATTAATCTCTTCAGTTCATTTCAAAATTATTTGAATCACATGGAGTTCAGTTCTTGGAGACTGCCAAACAAGACCTGAAAAACATTTTGTGAATAAATAATGACTTTTTAAAAAAGAAATTTTCCAACTGCTGGAGAGGTGGGAAAAAGTCATAGAACAGAATGTTGCTTATATGATTCCATGAAATACTTTTATGTTTTTGTGCTGCTTCATTTGTATTCATCATCAAAAATTCTCAAAACTTTCCAGGCAATCTAGTAGTAGTTTTTTTTTTTTTTTTTAATTATATTTTGAAGTTTTAGATTATTCAAAAATATTTTAATATAATTCAGAAATTTCATTTTGTTTATTAGCTTTATATTTTTTCCCTTTTGAAAAAAAAGCTGAAATGGCATTATCATGACTAAAACTGATAATTGCAAATTAAAAATTAAAACAAAAATTTGCTTTTTATGTTTGCTTATCTGATGAGTGTAAAAAGAACTTTTACTGAATTTTTATAGATTCTTCGGCAACTGCATATAAATCCAGTTATCATTATTCAAGGCCCAACTGGATGTGGTAAAACAACCCAAGTTCCCCAGTATATTCTTGATTATCATATATCACGAGGCATATACTGTAACATTATTGTAACTCAGCCTCGAAAAATTGCTGCTATAAGTATAGCAAGAAGAGTGTGCAAGGAAAGAAACTGGCAACTAAAATCTATCGTGGGATATCAGGTACATTGTTGTTTGACTTTTTATAAACAATTATGTGGAAAAATATGCATATATGAAGCTATTTATTATTTTTAAGATATTAAGTAGTAGATTTTAGAACTATGTAATTCAACATTTTTTCTGAAGATCAGTTCTCTCCTATCATAAGAGAGAATCAAATATAAGTAGCTTTGATAAAAATGAACTACTAGATAGCTGAGTTTAAAATTTACTACAGTTGCTGAAATTTTTGTATCACTGCAAACTATATACAGTAAGCTTAATGAAAAAGTCTTTTCTATAAGAAAATTAGTGATAATTTTTTAATTATCCAACAATTATGTAATTTTAATTATCTAACATTCATCTAAATTAATTTATCTATTTCATATTTTGTAAAGCTTTTATGAGTTTTTGATTAAGAAACACAAAGTGGGCAATGACAACACTGTAAAAAAAAAAAAAAAAAAAAAAAAAAAAATTCAGCTCATGAAACTGTGTATCAGAAATTCTAAAGATTTAATGATATTGCTTTTAAATATTTTATGCTATTGCTGTTGAATTGCCTTTGGAAAAATCTAATACCTTTCAGATTTTATATTACACATATAAAATCTGAAAGGTATTGGATTTTTTTTTATTTTATTTTTTATTTTTTTTTATTTTGAGATTTTTTAGTTATTTTTTATTTGAAAAGTGTTGTCCGAGTTTTTCGGGCATTCAGTCATCGTTAGAAATTATGTACCTCATAACAAAATTGTACATTGCATATGTTAAATCATTTCAGAGCATGGTAATATGGTGGGAGAAGGCAGGGCTACGAGCAAAATTGATACATGCATCACGAATTTTTGACAATGGCTCTTGATTCACAGGTATCAGCATTACATATGCAAAGTAAAGTAAAATTTATGTATGAAATGGAGGAAACACCTGAGAGAGGAGGAAAAAAAAAAAGATAGTGAAGGAAATATGAGCTTTATATTCATTTTGTTTTCTTTTTTTTTCCTTTCTCTTGTATTTATTCTAGATCCAGATCCTTCAACTTTTTTCTTTTCGTTTATTGATATTGATCCTGTTTTTTTTTTTTTTTTTAAAAAAAAAAAACAGATTTCTATATTCTTTGTTTACTTCCTTTTTTATGAAACAGGATTTGTACTGCTCTTAATAAAAGTCTTTAATTTTTCTTATTTGACATTTCCGTCCTGTGATTGCCAATGTGTAGGAATTAACATTTTGGATGAATGTTGAATTCAAACCAAGTGGAATATAATGAAGTCATCGCAAATTTATGTTGAAAACCAAGTGTTCACAGTGGAGTTGATACTTTAAGGGTTGATGATGATCAAGGGGTCAATATTCAAATATGCACTGGCAATTGATTAGCATAATCAAAAACATTTATTAATACTATTGATAATCAATTGTTTATTGAAGCGGAGTTGTATCATACAAAGTCATCTTACTTCAAATACATGATTAAGCTAAATTTTGGAATTTAAAAGTCATCTGAGAGAAATATCCCAAAATAAAAGTTGTTATCAAACTAACATTATTAATGTTTCCCTCTTCTTACCTAAAGGAAACTGGCTTTAATCAAGTAAATAATTTAATGTGGAAACAAAAAACATATTCAATGCACCTCAACGAGGTGATATAAGAATTCAGTTAAACAATTATATGCCAAATATTTAAAGTAATGCATCAAGAGCAGCAGTGATTGGAAACATTTATTAAAATTCGACTTTTGTGTAATTGGAATCATTGGTTTTGCTTCTGGAAACTTTTTGTGTAAAAATAATAATAATACAAAAAGTAATAAAACAAATGTAATTAACTATTTTAAAATTTTTTAAAATATTCATAGTTTAATTATTATCGTTCAGTTATTTACATGCAATTATTTATATTATGATTATATTCTATGCTGTATATTATAGAAGAAAATATGAATGAGAGTGAAGAAAATCATTCTTTTGAAAGGGGGCGAGACAAGACCGGAAACCGTGTTGTAAACAATGAAATACAGTCAGCCATCCCAGGAGGAAAATTCTAAATTTCTTATTCCTTTTTTGCAGTTGTACCATCATATTTGAAATGAAAAAAAAAAGTTTCTTGGCCTTTGATGTTTAGCTTACGGCCATACTTTGACCGACTGTAATCAAAGTGTGACTGTCAAGAGTATCATTGTTCAAACTTCATAATTTTTCAGGGGCAAGACCAAAGACATGAATAGAGCATTTAAAAAATGGTGAGGATAATCTGAAAAAAAAAATTGCTGGACCAGTTAAAATTTGGGGGATTTTTTGGAGGTAAAGAAAAAAAAAAATAGTTAAAATTTTTGTCAATAGAGGACACCACACAGATGCACTAATAAGAAATATGTAAATTATAGAGTTCTATAAATTTCAGATTTAGCAATTAACAGCTCATTTCTGATTTTTCTTCCTACTTGCTCATACATAAAGTTTTAATTATGATGCTGACACTAGTAGATAAAGTGTTATTAGGGAAGTTGTTTTACCTCAGCCAAGAATAGCCGACCGAAGCTCTATGAAAGTTTCAGACACAGAAGCGATGGAAATAAAAGGGACAGGCCCAATCTCTATTGCCGGACTGACTTGCCTGGAACGATGCTTCGAAGAAATGGAAGTTTCTGTCATCGCCTTCTTAGTTGTGCACCAGGTCTATCAGAGGTGTGTACTTCAGCTATTGCTTCACAGATTGAGACTCCAAGGGACCAGTCAGTGAGTGTAATGTAAAAAGTAATGTTAAGTGTAATGTAAGAGTGTAATGTAAGAAGTGGCATGGAAAACTGATATACCAAAGACACTGGTATTCCGCATCTTTCACAGTGTTTTTAAATTGTAATCAGTCTGCCAGCCAAGTTGCAATCAGTCTACCAGCTCTAATCAAATGAGAGAGCTAAGTGGTGATATGAACGAATTGAGCTTTGTCGAATATCATTGATGATCTACAAATGGCTTCTCAAAATCTTGTGGACTGATTAGGCTTATTTTTCATTGCATGGAACAGTCAACATCTATAACTGTAGAATGTGAGCAAACACAGGGTTCGTAGCTGTCCTTATAAGTGCTTATAAGTCCTTATATTTAAAAATAAAATATAAAGGCTTTTATAGGTGCTTACTTTTTCTTTTAAAGCCCTTATGTTTTTGTTTTTAGTGCTTTTTTTTTTTTTTTTAAATGAACGTGCAATTTTCCCCCGTACCAAAGCCGAAACTAAATAAACAACTTTTCATCCTAATAATGGAATGTCAGATGGTGAATCATACTCTCGGAAATAGCTTTTCCCCCTTCCTCTGCATTAACATAACCTTTGGTGTGCGCGGAGAGTACAGACAGGTGCCCGTCGTTCTATTGGGCAAAGAATTGCAAAAGCTGTAGAAAATTCCTTTACATTCGGCATTCTTTTCCTTCCACCCAAATACTACACATGTTTGAATTTCTATCAAAATCTTAATAATTTGCATTCTTGTTCCGCTTGGTCAGTTCATATTCATGTTTATTATGACCGTTTGCTTATATTATGGCATATGTATGAATGTTTATAATAACATAGTTGCAGTAACTGCTGAAGTATAGTAAACTTCCCAAAATGGTTGTGTTTTAACACAGATTAGCTTTCTGAAGAATTATATTCGGAATGGCTTACATAAAGGAAAAGTGATCGAATAGTCAAATTAATTTAATTTTTTTTGGCTAATGCATTATACAGTCTGAAGGTTGGGAGGTTCTCCCCTTTCTCCGCAAAATCTCGGTTATTGAAACTGTTACAGTTTGCTGCAAAACAAGCAATGGACTTTTTTTTTTGTCACTTTCCAATCTGGATTGAATAGGACAAAAGTTCTGCTGTCTACCAACCCAAGCGAAGAATGATTCTATTCCGGAAATTCAACGCAGTCTGTTGAAAATTAGAATGAAAAACACCCCAGATTTGTAAGTCTCTTTTATTAGTTCTTTATTCTCCCAATACCGGCTGCTGTTGATTTCGACTGCGTAATATCACGTAGGGAAGAATTACTGTGCTCGTATTGTGCAATAACATTTGGAATATTTTGCAGAGATAATTATTTTTGATGTTCAGTCTGAGATTTGCTTATGAACACTTAAAAGAGTTTTACTGTGCTTGCTAAGCAAAATATTTTTCAGTTCCGTTGTTTTTTTTTTTATATGATGCACATACCAAAATGTCAAAAGCATTTATTTAGCAGGAAAATCTAAAGAACGCCTACAGTCTACCCCCCCTTGCTCCTCTTTTTCAAGTTACGCTCGACTGTCCGAATATTCGCCAATTTCTAAGTATGTGGGTTAGTTAAGCTTCAGTGGCATAGCGAGCTTAACTGGCGCCCGGGGCAAAATACCTTTTTAGCGCCCCCCTCCCAAAAAAACCCAGTCATATGATGAAAATCTTGTTTACAGACCATTTGGCGCCCCTCTGCGAGCAGCGCCCGGGGCATCATACACCCCCTTGCCCCCCCTCGCTACATCACTGTTAAAGGATGACTACATGAAGCAAATTTCTGTCTTCTGATTTCAGAAATGTTCCTCTTTTTTACTTAAATTACTTTGCTTGCAATATCGGTTAAGGGAAAACTGATATACAATGAAAATTTAGAAAATGTTTAGAATTTAGATTTAAATTATTTAAATATCAATATGAGTGGAAAAATAAATTGTATTTATTATCAGGTTTTAAGTGAATACAATAAATATGCCTTATTATTATTTATTTTCTCTATTTTGAACTGAAATTTCATCATTAAATCTTGTAATATAGTTTAGTTCTGCATAGTTTTTTTTTTTCTCTCATTGTAAACTAATTCTGTAAATTGAACTGCTATTTAAAATTAAAAAATAAATAAATAAATAAAAAGTAATTATTTTTCATGGTTGAAGTAATGATTATTCTCTCTTAATAAATACTGCATTTATCATATTTTAAATTACAAGTCTAATGTTTAAGGTTATGCAGTTGTGAATAATGTAATTAGACAGGTGCTTATTTTTTTTTTCTTAAAATGTGCTTGAAAAGGGCTTATAGGTGCTTATTTTTTTAAAATTAAAATGTGGCTATGAACCCTGAAACAAGAACCCATATGCTTACCACTGAGGAGCCTCTACATTCATCTCATTTAACTAAGAGATGTAGTGTCACTGCATCCATTATTTTTGGCCTTTTTTTCTTTGAAGAGTGCTATGCAAAAGCTGGCTGGAAGACCTGCTTAATTTTTGGAATATGCTATTTGCAGCTGCTGAAGAAAGTGATACAGCACTAATGTTCTTGACACAGTGACATTCATGCAAGGTGGAGCACCTCTTCATATCACAACCCAAATGAATATGTTTTAAAGAAGAACTTTCACCAAATAACATTAATTAGCTGTCACTGTAAAAAATGACTGGTCCCTTGCTTGCTGAACTTATCACCACTTGATTTTTGGCTTAGAGGTTGTGTCAAATCCAGAGTATACTGTAGTAGCCCATCTTCTTCGGTGCAGTTAAAAGATGCCATTTGTCACAAAATCTCTCGCATCCATTCGTATATGCTACATGCTGTAGTTAAAGGTGTAGTAACTCGCTTGCAAACTAAATTTGTGGTGATGGCAGACACATAGAATAAGAGTGATATGCTTGTAAACATTTACCTGCTTCGAAATAAGTATAGTTTTTCTTGAAATGTGTGGTTCGATCTCATACAGTGCCCTCTATCAATGAAGGTGTTTAACTTTTTTTTTTTTTCTTTACCCTCGCTCCAAAAAACCCTTAACTTTTTCACAAACCCCATTAAGTCTACCAATTATATATATGTATATATATATAGATATATCAAGTAGTGTACACGTATATTTATAATTTAATATGTTAAAAATTAATTTGGATTTTTGCTTTAGGTTGCTATGGATGCTCAGACTTCTGCAGATACACGGTTGACGTATGTCACAACAGGAATTTTATTGGAAAAATTAGTAAATGCAAGACGAATGGATATGTACACTCATGTCATTATTGATGAGGTAATATTGTTGTGTGTTTCAGAACTTTATATTTGGTTTAAGTTTTTTAAATTAATGTGGAACTGTCAATGACAAATAATTTTCAGAAAGATTCAAAACATTTGCAGTGATATATTAAAGTATTTTGCATTTTGTGATATATTTTGCATTTGTACAAAATATCAATTAGTTTTAATAACAGTAAAATTGTCGCATGTTTTTCTAAACATCATTAAAAGAAATTCCCCTGATTACTTTTTATCAAAGCACAGAAGTGAGGCTTAACTCACAGAAAAATAACTAAAACAGATTGTCTCTTTTATTGGGAAAAGTGTGCGTAAACAGTTATAACTAAGCTGTTGTTCTAAAACAAATTAAGTGCAGTTAAATCTGATCTTTGCTTAGTTCTTTCTAATTATTAGCACCTCCATTTTCAAGTGGTAAAATTGCTGTATTTTGGGCATATTTTTTAGCATACCTTTAATAACCAATTCATGCATATATGTACTGCACACATGTTTGATTAGATTTATATGCCTACATTTAATTGTCATTTTTTTGTTGAGCAGTATTCACCAGCTATAAATGTGCAGATATCAGTTAGATCCTTTTTTCTTGCAGTTTTTTATAATTTATTATTATTTATGGACAGAACAGTACCTGTGAGCTGTTAAAAGTAGACAAAAAAGTTTCCCCCCCCCAGTTCACAGTTTCCAGATTTTTCTCCAGTCCACAAAATATCACCAATGAATTGGTGACATTTTGTGGGAGTGCAGCTGATCAGAATTTTTGCATTTATAAAAATTAAATCTCTAAATCATTTACAGAACAAATAATATTTGGAAATGTCAACTATTCTGTAACTTTTTAAATGAAATTAAACTAAAATTAAATGTGTTCTTTATTTTCTATAGTGTTGTAGTTTAGTGTCTAATTTATTTCTCACTAATATAGGTCCATGAGAGAGATAAGGATGTTGACTTTGCACTTCTGTTAGTAAAAAAGTTTTTGAAAACAAACTCACAGAGAGTTAAGGTAATATATTGTGTACTCTTTTTCTTCTTTGTCTTTTTCTTTCTTTTCTTTTTTTAAACATGTAAGTTTTTATAATGAAGTAGGTGAGAAAAAAATAAAAGTAGTTGGAAAAGTTTACGAATTGATGTATTTTGTAATTTTGAGTTACATGCTACAAACTGTGTGTATAATGATTATTTTAAAACACCCAGTATTTGTTTCCTGTTAATTTTTTTAGTTCAATTTTGTTTGTAACAGTTTTCTAACCTTGAAATATACGGTCTACCGGAAAGTTCTGTTCGTTTTTGGAATAAAACAAAATACAAATTTTTCTTACCGTCAATGAACTTTATTAAAATAATATAATTGCCATTATTATTAATGACTTCTTGCCAGAGTGAGGGCAATTTGTATATCCCAATTTTAAAAAAGGATGTCACTTTTGATGCGAAAAATTGAGCTGGTGCTTGTTTGATATCTACTTCATTTTTGAATTTTTTGCCCTTAAAAAAAAATTGTAAGGACAAAAACAAGTGATAGTCAGAGGGTGCTAAGTCCGGGGAATATGGTGTATATGACAGAATTTCCCAGCCTATTTCTGAAATTTTTTGACAAGTCCCCAAAGCAGCATGGGGCTTGGCATGATCATGATGCAGTATGATGCCGGCCTCCTGTCTTGTACTATTGTCTTTAAATTGTCTAATTGCTGACAGTACTTCTCTGAACTGAGCTTTTTGTTCGGTTTTAAAAGCTCATAATGTACTGGTCCTCGAATGCCCCACCATATATACAACATTCTCCTTATTCAGGGTCAAATTTGGTTTACAGGTGGGAGGGCTAAGTTTTCTGGGTTCACAATATGCCCTTTCCCTTACAGCGTTTCCATAGGTTATCATCTGGTTCAAGAAGGGCTTCATTTAGTTCAGAGCAAGCAGAGATGTGCATATGACGATTCGATCATCCAAATTCTTCTGACTTAATTCATGTGGCAACAATCTTGAATATTTCCACACCAATCCTATCTTCCGACTATGTTTCGAAATGGTTTGCTGAGCTGAATTAAGCCTTTCTGTGATCTCTGATGTTGTCACAAAAGGATCTTGCTCCAACATGGTCATAACAACACCGTTGCCGATCAAAGATGATTGCCCAGAACGTGGCTTATCAGAAAGTTTGAAATCATCTGTTTCAAATTTTTCGAACCATCTTCTGCATGCTTTATCAGAAACTGTACCTTCACCAAACACTTTCAATAAATTTCTACATGCTTCTGTAGCATTTCTTCCTTGTTGAAATTCGTATAAAATACAGTGGCATAAATGAACTGTATCAGTGGCCATGGGTACACTATCACTTCACACTAAGACTAACGTAAATCAACTTTGTTTTAGTTAACTTGCTACTTTAGTATGTATACATTAAGCGATAAAAATAGAGAGCTGAACACACGGCAAATAAACATGTGCTTACGTGTCAAAAATTGTTGTCATAAAACGGACATAACTTTCCAGTAGACCGAATATAATAAGATCATTAAAGAAAATAATTACATGCAATAATTTTGTTCAAGGATTAATCATTGAATATTTTATTAAATTTGTCCTTTTGTTGTTTCTGCATCCATAATATTTACCAGTAATTCATATTAAATTTGTTGGGTAGGCATATTGTTATTGAAATGAAGTACCTACAACTAAGCGAGAACATTTCAGTGTGAGGTAGCAGGTAACAATCGGGAATCGTTGCGGTATTTAAATGGCAATAATTACAACAAGGCCACCAATCACCATTTGCCTTTCAAACCATATACAGGAGTCTTGTCCACTGGCTTTTTGAAGGATGAATAATACCTTTTGACTTCAGAAATTTAAACTTTTTACATGTGGTTTTAAGTAATCATCTAGGTTTTGAGAAAATAGGAGGCCCTTTAGTTTCAGTGTGGTGGAAAATTGTTGAGGTTTGTTTCTTATCGAAAATTTTCAAACAAGTTTGTCAATTTAAAGGTAATCAGCAAGAATATTGTCAAATTTTGAGTTACCAACCAAAATAAGAATGTTGGTATTGAGCAGATTATCATTTGGTAGTCTGCCACCAGAATATAATTTTGTTTGTCTGGTCAAATAGCTGTTTTTGAAAAAGGTCAACATCTATGACATCCATGATGAGCTGATTAACATCTGTAATGACAAAAGGCCAGATAAATGAGCAACATAATTTTAAATTGATGATCAAAAGTTTTGTACCACTGGTAGCAAAGATAAATAATGCAACAGGATTATTTGCGTGCTGACAGTAGTTCTCGGGAATGACTGATAAGTCAGCATTAGTATCAATTAAAAATGTCATTTTTGAATATGAGTTGGCCAGAATTCAATTAATATGACGATTGCAATGTTGGCCATCGGGCAGTCACTGATCAAGTTTTCTGACTGCTGGAAATTATAGGGAAAAATGAATTTTTGTGCTTTGGAACTTAAGTTAGCATGATAGAAGCAAGTAATTCTGCTCAGCTCTTTATACTGTTGATAGCACCTGTTAAATTTACTATGCCTTCTGTTGTTTAAGAGAAGAAATTTCTTTATGTTCTCAGAAGCATTCACATGTGTTTTTGATGGTGAGTGAGAGTTCATTTACTTGCTTGACCAGCTCTGCAGTTTTCTGCTCAAGGAGTGGGTAGGTGCTCTGTGAGATTCATAATTTTGTCAACCACTGTCACAACTTTTCGGAGTTCATCACATAAGGCAGCAAGGATGCCCTGTGGGTTGTGTTGGAGACAAGATTAGTAGAAATAGTGATCTTAGTAATGATTCTCCTAATGTCTTTCCAGCAAGGGTTTGCAAATGGAAAATTAATTGCAAAAGGCATTGATAGCCAATTTCAAGTCATTGAAGTAGATTATGGATTTTCATACTCTTCCTCAAGAAGCAATAATTATATTTTATGTACAATAATATAAAAATGATGGATTATTATATATTGTATGCAATAATATAATAATTTTTGTATTGACAGAATTCTGGGAAAAATCAGAAAATAACTTAACTGGTTTCTAAGTCATAACCTCACTAATGGTCCAAGCAAAATATAACACTTTGGCGACTGCACCAAGCGACTGAGCTTGTTAGAACTAAATTAAAAGTTGGAAAATCAATAACAGTAGAAATTATAAATATGATCAGATATAAGCAGGATTGTTTGTCAGACATTGCAGAAAGGAGGAATGTAGTAATCTTAAGCAGAAATCTTTTTGTGTAATTAATGCATATAAATGAGGCAACAAAAATACATCGCTCAGCAGCTTACAATAGCAAATCACGTATAGCTACATGGAATGCATCATTTATAAAGAAATGCATTGGAAATCATGAACCAAAATAAGTTTTACGTAATAAATTATGTTTATTGAAATAAGAACAAAATTTGTTTACAAGTCTCTCCATATGTTATTTAGTAAGTAAAATGCTGGTTCAGAAGCCACCATTGCTCTTCAAACATGTGATTTTCATACGAAATTCATTGGCTGTCATTGATGAAGTCACCAACAACTTTATATCCTGTTATGTTCAGTGATCATAACACTTGGCACAGGTGCCAAAGACGTGCCTGCACTGGTGATATGTTTCTCCATTTAAACAAATTGCTGCAGATGTTGGAAAATATTTATTTGGATGTATGCTTTCTCATGTAGGCAGGCCTCTGTCTTGTAATCTAAGGATATAAGTTTCTTTCATGACCATTTTGAATTTTTCGGATTAAGCTATATTAATCTGAAACAAGTATGAAGATGCATGGGGGGCTAGTATTGGATATACTTGAGTTATACGAATTATGCATTGTTGTTGGATGTGGATCTTCTCAGGAACCAGATGACAAATATCGAATCAGTGAATATGGAACTATGCTACTTATGATTTATTGTGCATAACTCTATTTCTATAGATGAGAAAATATGCATACATGAGGTATTTAATTAAAAAAAATTAATAAGCATCCCAAACTAAGTTAGCATTTTATATAGTTTCATATTATATGCATATTTGATATATAATTGACTAGCCTTATGAAGCTTCTCAAATTGAGATAATTTGATTCATGGCCAAACATTTTATATTTTTATATTCACAGTTTTACAAATTTTAAAATTATATTGAATTCAACCTTAGCTCATTAAATGACATTTTAAAAATGTGATTTATGCCTACAAGAATTTTTGTTGAAAATATGTTATTTACTGCTATTGATTACACATTTTACCTAAAAAAATTCTTTTCTATTTCATGCTTTTTATAACTGTTGTCATTTCAGGTTATTTTAATGTCAGCCACATTTGATTCATCTTCATTTGCAAAGTATTTTACTCTTTCATCTAAAGGAGACCCTGCTCCAGTAATAGAAGTATATGGTAAATCAAAAGAAGTTACTGAACATTACTTGCCAGAGCTGCAAACTCTTATCAAAAGGGTATGTGCTAATTATTTCCATCATTCATTGAGATGCGTTATATAATTTGCATCTATTTTATAATTGTTATTTTATGTTGTTATATTTGAAAGTATAAAAATATCTGTTTCATTTGTCATTTTATATAATAGAAACATAACTTTATGACGCCTGCATTAGATTTGAAAGTTTTTGGTTGTTACCTTATGGTTAGCTACGTGAATTTGATTAGGTGTCAGTAAGTCCTCTATATAAGTTTTTCTGAAGAGATTAAAATGCCAAAGTTCATGCAGACAAGAACACCAAATAAAATCAAATTATTAAGTTTAATATGTCTCTGTTTGAGTTCTTAACATAAAATTATATTACAGGTAACAGTCTACTTGACTAGGTCATTAGTTGCAAGATAAAATTTTAACGTCATGTAATTCCCAATGCTGTTTAAATTAGGAAAAAAAACACAAATTCCTATCATATATTAACATGTTTAAAGTTTTGACTTCAGGTTATTATTTAGATGTCTGTTCACATAAGCTAGCTTTCCCACTAGACATTCACCAACAGTGAATTCCATCTATCAAGCACTGCCTTTCATGCATGGAGACACTTAGACACAGTTACTTAGACCATCTTCTGTGGTTCTGATTAGAACCTTTTATACACCAGTGGCGTAACAGCCCTAATGGGCCAAAGCCTGCAGTGCCCCAAAATCTGCTTTCTTGACCGTGGGCTCCCGGTTGCTTAAGCATAAGCCCTGAACAAGTGGTCAGCTTGTCGCAGGATTCCCAGTGTTTAGTCCCCAAGCGAACTTGGTACTCATTTTATCGACCCAAAGGATGAAAGGCTGAGTTGGCTGAGAAGGTAGAGTAAAGATGCAAATTGAAGAATGATTTGTTAGTTAAATAAACTTAATTGCCACAGTCTAGTGAAATCACCTTATCATACATCACCTAGCCAATAGAAGGGAAATTATTTTGTCATTTTCAGATTATGGTATTTGAATGAAATTATTCCTTAGTGCTGCTCTCATAAACAACACACCATATGTCATGTTCTTGGCCTTCCAGATTTCCATGCCCAATGGCTTATATCTTATACAGTCAAAAGTCTTTAATCCGGACTCGTCGAGACTTCGGCGATTCCGGATTATCGATTTTTCCGGATTATAGATCATCAGTTTAAATCTGGTAAGATGGCCTGCAGAAATTATAAAATTAAAAATATGAAACCATAATTTATAAAATAATGAGCAATTATGATCTAAAGGGTATCAAAATTTACAAAAAAAGAAGCTTAATATTTATTTGTTTACATTATTAAACATTTCTTTCAACGCGCGCATGCGTAAAGCATACATTACTGATGCTAAAGCAAAGTTTAAAGTTTATAAAATTAAACATTTTAGCAATAGTAGCAATAAAAGCTCCCTGAGATAATATGTTGTGCAAACATTGAAGGCAATAAAAAAAAGTTTCAAACTTAACCAATTTATTAACAATATAATAAAGAATAAAAACACAGAAAATAAATTTAAACAATATCAGAGTCTTAAGAAAAATATAATATAACCATCATTCATCAAATAATATTTTTACCTGGTCTCCAAAAATACTGGCATTCAATACAAAAAAATGGCCTAATCAGTAATTATGTGGTCTCAAATGAAATTGGCTACACATTTAAAAAGTCCATGATCAATGGTCAAGACAGCACCTAAAATTTAAGTTAAGTTCTTGAAAGCACTTAAATCCGGCCTAACTCCGCTTACATTAGTTGAACATGAGGAATCGCCGCTAACTTATTTTAAATGCCACCTTCATGAAGAATATGGATGCTGCCCACAGCAGTCACTCACACTGTAGCCTCTGGAACCAAGGAACTTATTCAGGAACAGCCATCTTGTGAACAGGAACCAAGGAACTTATTCAGGAACAGCCATCTTGTGGACAGAAACAGGGACTTATTCCCGACTGCATGCATCCTTCAAAGGGGCTGGAAACCCACCCAAGTGCCAGGAAAGCAGGAACTGCAGAGCTGAGCCAGAGCGACGCGAGATACTTATACCAGAAGTAGGCATGACGTCATCTCACGGCAACCATCACTATCGCACGATTAGGCTTTCCAGACGACGTAACATCACATTTCGTTTTTTGCATCTTAATTAGGTTTAAACAATTAAGACACATACACGCCGAATAAACCAATTCAGAAGTCAAACAACAAAAAATCAGCGTTAATTTACAAAATTTTCACAGACTAGTTTCGATGGTTTTACCGAACCACCATCTTCAGCTGCATTGCGGTTTGCCAGCTGAAGATGGTTCGGTAAAACCATCGAAACTAGTCCTGTAAAATTTTGTAAATAAACCTGATTTTGTTGTTTGACTTCTGAATAGGTTTAAACAGTCCGTTCTCAACACACAGTGGCAGTAATAAAAGAATCGACGTAAGACTTATACGTAAAATAATAACGACCTAGTAAACATTCAAGGAGAAGATGATGCAGTAAAAGGTTACAATAAGTCTATTTTCCACAATTACGCATAGCCAAAATTAGAAATTGCAACCAGAAAACTATTTGATTGTATTCGTGATATTTATAACGATGAGGATTTGGTTTAAATCATATCAAAGGGAGTACATCGAGACGAATACTACATTTACTAAGGAATTATAAGCCGAATAAAATAAAACATCTGTCTGAATACGATAGTGCTGAAGATCAACTTCCAGTTCATTGCCCCCCGCAAAGCAGCTATTGTTAAACGATTCGAAGGGTTAGATAACGAAGGATATGCCTTTATCCATTTTTTTTGTAGCAATTCCACTTTTGGTTTGATGGACATCAAAGCATACTTTCGTTTTGGGAGCTCCAGCATCGGAAATTCTATTTGACATAATCGAAAGTTCAAGCTTACTTTTATAAAATTGCTCTTACAGTCTGCAAAAAATAATAAGCTGGATCCAATTCGAAGATTAAGGAAAAACGCAATCTGCAACATTAACTGAAATAGATAATTAGATAATTTTAGCTTATACCGTCCATTATACATTAAATGTGCATGCGAAAACGGATTCTGAGCTTGCGCAGACGCATATGCGCAGTCGTAAAGGTCTTGCGCGCATGCGTAAATGCCTATGCGCATTCACAGAAAGATTTTAGCTTTGAGGTCCGGATTATGGGTGCCCGAATTAACGACTTTTGACTGTATTATGTTAATGGGGAAAATCTGCATATTTGCTGTTCCTATTTACCTTAGTATTAGATACTGAGTCAGTGTTGCAGAACTGATTATAGCTTTGTCATATGTTGAGTAATGGTAATTGCATATATAAAATGTTAATGTAGCAAATTTTCCTCTTTGACCTAATAGGTAATTGTAACATATTTTAGCATGTTTATATAATAAATTTGTAAGGAATGGTGGTTTTGCAGAAATTAGCCCATTCATTTAAAAATATCTTTTATGTATATAATGCATTTTTAAAGCGTTTAAAACTTTTGTACATTTTCTAAATTATCCTTTGATTTCCTCCTTGAAAGATAAAAAAATTTTTAACAAATCTAATGCTTTTTCCAGTGATTTATTCAAATTTCAAAATTTGCATTTCAAATCAGCAGAAAAATTGTCTGTTTAGTCGATCTGCTACTACAAGCATGACTAATACATTCCTTGCTTTATCTTCAGTCTAGAGTTACCACTTCTTTCCATTCAAAGGATCTTAATGTACAGTAATGCTTAGAAGCAATTCATGAGCTGCGTTACAGCTCTCTGTCAACATAATATGTCTTTGTGGATTTTGAATGTGGCAACATTTCACTCTTATTTCATATAAACTGATATTCGAGAAGGAACCCCTTATAATGCCTCTATAGAAATGTGTTTGTTGATCTTAAGATAAGGGAACTTTGCTACTCTGAAGTCCAATGACTGAAAACATTCTCTCATAGGTATAGGAATTGGGGGGGGGTGATACAAAAATTTTGGTCAAACCCATTTTATTGAAGCACTATGTACCTGAATGATAAAGTTACCAACCACAATATATCAAATGGGGGAACTATTAAAAGTTTTGATAGGTACAAGTAGGATATTCAGGTGCTGAAGAATCAGTCTTTTGCCAGTCTGTGTTTAATAAGGGACAGAAATCAGTTTAATAAGCAGCAGGTTTTCTATCAATCAGTGTATATATGTTTTGGTTCATGAAAATGTGAATGTGATAAGCGGCTGAGTTGATTAACCAGTGAGTTTAATAAGAGATGGGTACTGTAGTTATTTTTAAATGTGTAATGTTTTTGAATTAAAGGCTTCTGAATACGTGATTTTGTTTCAGTTATTCACGCACAAATAATCCAGATGTTGTATCAAAATTAGAAAAGGGAAATTCTAAATGATACCGAGAAAAATATGATTTGTATTCTGCACATTTCATAAATCCACACTACTCTCGATCATCAGTGTACAGATTAAAGGAATTTTACTTTATTATTATTAGTAGTAGTTTATAATGTTTGTAATTTGATTAAGCTTCAGGAATTTTAATATCAGTCATGTTCTCTGCATTAAAAATTAATGTAATTATTAAGTAATTTTATTAAATCTTAGTATTTCTAAATGCATCTTTTACTTGCATATAAGTTTCCAGTTTTATAGTTGCATCATAAATTTTCTTTTGATTTTAGATGCCTGAATTTGATATATGTAAACCTATGCTTGATCCATGCTTATATGAGGCTGTTGTAAAACTGATGTGTGTTTTTGATAAAATTGAAAAGGCTGAACAGAAGTATGTATATTTTAAATTTTATCACTTTATCATCGTTTTCATTTTATGCTGTGTTGTGTATGTCATATATATATATATAATTTTTTAGGCTAAAGATCCAATTTTGTTTAATTCTTGTAATATGCTTAAAAATCACTAAAAACATTGTAGGCATTCAAGTTATTTCTGTTTAATCGATTTGGAATATTTTTCAGCAATTCATCACTTAACATGGTTAATCTCTATAACATGCTATATTAAATGAAGAAGTGCTAATTTAATATAAAAAAAGCATATAAAATATTGTAATTCATCCAATTGTGGTGAAAGCTTCCTAAGGTAACCATCCACTTTTTAAGCAGTTTTAGGCTTTGAGAGTGAGTCTTTTACAGAAAGGGTATTTAGTGATGTTCAGTTCTGTTGTTTAATCAAGTTCTTTGAAATACTAAATCTATGTTTGTTTGTTAGATGGTTTCCTTAAAAAGTTTTAATCTATTTTTAAAAATCTCTTTGTATATTCATAGGTTGTTTTAACTACTTAAATGAAAGTGAAATAAAATGCTAAAAATGCTTGTCTGTTAGCCAAAGTATATTATGATATTCAGGAACAAGGAATGCAACAAACTGTCAAATATGGCCTCCTTCCTTTGTTTAATCAAATAAATTTATGCATAGTGAATTGTAAATATAAAGTAGTCATTTTAAAATTGATTCTAATGGATAAACTGAATATAGGAAGAAATACTGAGTTATATGAATAAGATGGAATGCAAATCTTCCATTGTGATATTAGCGCCTTAATCGTCAGTCCCCTAATGGATTTTGAAACCTGTAGTATAATTTTAAATCCAGAAAATATTATCAGTGATAGCAGAGTTGCCAACTCTCCCGATTTAGGCGGGAGACTCCCGATTTTCGACCACTCTCCCGCCAACCCGATTTACAATATATTTCTCCCGACATTTTCTTATTCTTAAAATTTCTCACGATTTTTATGCAACTTGGCTTAATACTTTGTTATATGAATAAAAAAAAGTGCTTTTGGACGTCTGAAAGCAATTGAATTTTCTCTACATTATATCTAAAACAAAACCTTGCGAATCAGATAGCTTCTGCTTTGTGAGTGAGAGCATTATACGTATCCAGAAACGTCGTTCTCCAGTTCTCCAATGGGCTTCGAGCTCCACTGCGTGTCAGCTGGCATATATTAGCTAATGAGGACAAAGCAAGTTGTTATTTGGACGTTCTTTTAGTTATTTCGTTCATTTTGTCCTGAGTTGTGTGAGTACACGTGCCTTAGGGAAATAGTTTTAGAAATTATCATCTTTTGTTACGTCTGGCGAGAAAGGTGAAATACTCGTGTACGTTTCAAAAATCGTACACAGTTGACTTTCCTTCCATTATTTCCTCAAGGAAATGTAATAAATTTGCGATGTGTACCGCCTGTCGTTGCGATTTTTCGATTTCGTATGTTGGAAGGGCGGATGTTCTCAAACATGTGCGTACACAAAAAACACAAGGATAACATGAGTTGTTTTGAAAAAAACGAAAAATTAAATTTTTCTTCGGAAACAAAGGACCAAAAAGTTATTAATGCAGAATGTCTGTTCTCTGCCTTTTTACTGGAGCACAACCTGCCACTGAATGCATCGGATCACGCTGCAGCTTTATTTAGAAAAATGTTTCCCGATAGTGAAATCGTTAAGAAATACTCAAGGTGCAATTGTTAAAGAAATGGGTTTGAAAAATAAATCTTCAGTTATTGATTGCATTAAAACAGCTCCGGTCTGCCTCTCTAATGATGGAAGCAATAATACCGATTCAAAACCGTATCCAATTGTTGTTTCTTTTTTGATCCAGAGTCTTCAGAAATTGAGTGCAGTTTACTTTATGTTCCCACTTTAGAAGGACATTTGACAGGCTTTAATATAGCACAGCTAATTATTAAAACTTTAAAAGAAAACTGCAGGCACTCTGGATAATTGCTTAGCACTTGGTGCCGATAATGCACCAGTATTGGTAGGCTTGGAAGGCTGGTGTTGCAGGCATCTTAAGAAAGGAAAATTCAGATTTTCAGATTATGAGGTGCACCTGTCACCTCTTAAATTTAGCAGCTGAAAAAGGGGCAACTTCTTTACCAATAAATGTGGATGAACACATTGTTGATATTTATTATTATCTTGAAAGGAGTTCTAAAAGGAAGGAAAAATTGAAACAGTTCCAACAGCTGCATAACAGCAGTTTACAATTAGAAAACTTGGATGAAGTTATAAAATCAGCTACGATTGACACCCAGTGGAGTTTAATTGCAAAACTGAAAGGTGCTGATGGAATTTTAAAATATAGTGAACTGTCTAGAATTGTGTTGGCCATCTTGACAGTTCCCTATAGTAATGCAGAGTGTGAGAGGATTCTCAGTGTTGTTGCGAAAACGAGGACTAAATTTAGATCTAATATTAGAGATGGCACATTAGAAAAACTTTTATTAGCGAAAGCAGGCCTACGTGGCAATTGCTGTGAACGCAATGATGAAGTTTCTTTCTTAAAGAAAGCAAAATATGCCACTGTTTATAACATTTGTACGAAAACTGATTAAAGTGTCTTTTTTTTTTTTTTTTTTCTTTTCTTAAACGATGCGTGTAATAAAAATTTTTTTATGTGTAAGGTATTTTTGTGTTGCTTGCATTTAAGAATTAGTTACTACTTAAAGTTAATTCATTATTAAAACTTATATTTTTATCATTTAAAAAGTCTTTTTAACATTGTGAAAAATCTCCTGATTTCTTAAAAAAATCTCCTGATTTTTGAGTGTCATAGGTTGGCAAGTATGTGATAGTGAAGAAAGGGCCATAGAGGTCCTTGCGAATAAAAAGATTTCCTCTGAATTATTTAGTAAGAATTCTTGACACAGTAGTTACAGGGTCTTGAACTGTGGACTTTGTAACTTACTCTATATGAATTAAAGTATTATCACAGAAGCAAAATTGCTTTCTTTCTGCTTTAAGTATATGGAAAGAAATGTGTGACAAAATACTAAATGTTAACACAGTTTTTTTTGGGGGGGTAAATTTTGCTTTTTTTTATGCTATAAATTGCTCATCACATCACAAGGTTTTTAATTTGATTTGTGTATGCCCTCATCCTAGATTTAAACTGATAATCTAGAATCTGGAATCACTGATGACGATTCCAAATGTTAGATATTGTATTATACTTGCTAAAATTATTACAAAATTCAATTCATATTAATAATACCCATTTTTTCACACTAACTTGTAACACTTAGTGTATGTTATATTACACTTGAAAATGACCTTTCTTCATATAATCATCAAGTGAGTAGCTTTTCTTTTTGATATTAAAACAATTCTTAGTATTGTTTTGTTTATTTTATGGTTATTTGAATATAGCAGAGTGCACGGACTGTGTGCTTAAGGGTTCACCTTTGTTTAAATCCAGGTTTAACTAGTAGTCTTCAGTGGCTTAACCATTTAGCCATGGATGTTGCCATCATTTATTCTAAAAGAACGCAGCAAATTTTTTCCCCCTCACCGCTTTTTATTATTTGAATTATTTGCCTAAAATGCAAACATATTGATTTTCTTAAGATATAGAATTTCTCACTTTTATTTTTCTTCTTATCCATTTTTATCAAATAGGTAAAAATACATTTCAGAGAAAAAGTTATATTAGAGTTGTATGTCATTGTAGAGAAAAAGTTATGTAGAGTTTTAGAGCAAAACTTATTGTAGAATGCTTAAAGCAAAAGTTATGTTATAGTGCTTGTAGTGAATAATACATCACTGTTTCTGGGGCCCAATTGTCTTATGATTGGGGTGTGGGGAAAATTCCTTATTCCTTCAGTTTTCTTCCTTCCTTTATTCCTTCATTGAGGATCAGCAAAATAAAACTATTGCTTGGCTTCATTCTTGTTAAATAAAAATAACTTTGATTTAGTAAGCAGTAGGCTAGAAACTGTGTAAAATAAAAATGTGATATGGAGTAAGATTGTAATGAATTTAAATCTGATTAATTTTTCCTTTTTGAAATTTTATGCTTTGATTTTATTTTATGTTTAAATGTCTAAGTAAACTAATCATAAATATATGTCAACATTTCTTTTTATAGTGCTTCCCATGAACAAGAGTATGCACCAGTTAGAGGAGCTGTATTAATATTTCTTCCAGGTAAATATTCATTATTTAAAATACGGCATATGTTTCACATATTTGAAGTAATGGTTAGACATTAATAAAAACATCTTGGACATGAAGTGTGTATTCATAAATGTATTTTTTCCTCAGCTCTTACCTATACTAATTTATGTCTAAAAATACTGAATATTCATTTTACTTCACTTTCTACTTGCTCTTATTTCTTGACTATGTTTTAGGTATTTTGCTTTGTTTTAAAATTTAACTGAAAAGTTTTCATTCTTTGAATTTGCTATTTTCTTTTATGCAGGTTATGATGAAATAGCAGCCTTAAGTGACACATTGAAAAATCCTAACTTTAATAAAAAGTATGTATTGTGAATAAATCTGAGGAAGGCTGTTTTTATAGTATTTATAAAGTATATAGATCACTGACTTGTTTTAATAGCTGAAAAAATATATTTACTTGGAATTGTATTTTGTAACTGTCCTAAAAATATGTCTTTTTAAAATATCTTCATTTCCTGCATATTAATTTCTTGCTTTTGCAGATATTGGGTCATACCTCTCCATTCTTCAATTACTGTTGAAGAACAAAGCAAAGTTTTTAAAGATCCTCCTCCTGATCATAGAAAAGTAAGTTTCATAAAATTTTTCTGCACTGTTATTTTTTTTAATAAAGTAAATGAGTTACATTTTTCTTTTCTATAAATGTTCGCAGGTGATCATCTCAACCAATATTGCTGAAAGTTCCATAACTGTACCTGATGTGAAATATGGTAACTTTTCATATTATAGATTGAAGTATTTAATTTTAATCTAAATGAGCCAGTATGCTTGAAAATATTATATTAGTAGATTTCTAGTTTTTAAAATGTATGTTTGATTCTTTTTTTTTTTAATGTAATGTTCTGTTATGTAGGTTCTGTTTTACGTAAACTTCTGTTGGTTTCTTTTTCAGTGATTGACTTCTGCTTGACTAAAAATTTGGTTACTGATCAATATACAAATTATACTTGCTTACAACTAGAATGGGCATCTAAATCTAACTGTATTCAGAGAAAAGGTAATTTTTCCTTATTCTGCAAAACTATAAAATATATATTAACATGCTTTGTATTACATACTGAAGAGAAGTTTAAATATGTGAAGGTCAGATATTGTATTTAAGTAAAATTTCTTTATATGCTAACATTGTATATTTTTCAAAATATTATATTTTTATCTATTTCTCTGCTTTTGAAATGGAATAGCAATAAAAAAAATTCTGAAAGTTAATTTTTTATAGTACGAAAGTATCTGGTTTGTTATAGGTGCGTTAAATAAAACATAATTATAATGAAATTTGAAGAGAAGCATATCAATGTAAAATTTAAGCTTAGACAAAAAAACAACCTTAGTTGAGGGGTTCTCAACCAGTGGGAACCCTTAGAGAAGTTTTTTGGTTTTGGGGGAGGATGCAGTCAGCCTTTTATTTACATGTTAAGTAATTAGTTTTATTTTATGAATATAAAAAACTATTTATACTCAAGTTTTATTATTTATTATCATTCTTTACACTTGTTGAATTTATAAAGCACATTAAGAAATTATTTAAATTTAAATAAATATATATGCATTTTTCAAGTGCTGGATTGGGGGAATAGTCATTTAGCACTGGTGAAAAGGGTGCATAGAGCAAAAAATGTTGAGAACACCTGTTCTAGGAATTCCAGAGAATAAAAAATGAAAACTAAAGTTTTATTCAAAATCTACATCAATCTAAAATAAGCTTACAAGATATGCAGCTTTGATTAGGATTATCCCAGTTTGATGATGATGTCCCATGTATCTGCCAATAATCAATTTGACCTGGTTATTTGGTACAATTTTAAAAGTGTTGAATGTATAAGAAGTAAAAATAGTGTAACCTTAAGCAAAATGGTGAATTAGCAACTAAAATATCCTCATAACTGTTACACTCACTGTTGCCAATTTAAATATTTTGCTTCTCAATCTCTGTACTTATAATGTGTGTATGTTTTAATTTTAAATTTTAGCATGTGATCTAATGAATTAAAATGTTTTTGTTTTTTCATTTTGATATTTTGTCACAGAATTTATAATAGCATGTTGAGTATGAGATGCAGATTATTGTAAATTAATTTTATCGATGTTTTGTTTTGGACACAGTTGGCAACATTAAATCTTACACTGTACACATTGTTGTTGTGCATATTCTAAGACACTGTGCTCATTGTTGTAGTGTATATTCTAATTTAGTTGAGTTCAAATTGTGATTATTTTGTACTGTACATTAAATTAATTTAATCTTCAAAATACCAAAAAGAAACTATGTTATAGTGCTTAAGTAAACTTCCCATATTCATATCTAAAATGAAATAATAATCTAACAAACAACATACATGACAGCATTATTTAAGAAAAAACATGAACCAGTAGTGTTTGAAAGTATAAAAGCAGAAGGAAGGTAACAGAACTCAAATTTTACTCATGAATTAAAAAAGAATTATCTAGTCTTGAAAAATGTTTTTGATTGTATTGGCCAAGTGAAAACTGAATTGAAATTTCCCTGATTTTTAGTAGCTCATGGGGTGTATCTGACTTTAAAAATCATTTGAAAAATTTGAAACATAAGGCAAGCCTAGTAGCAGTGGGAGGAACTTCCTTATATATATTGTCATATTTTAAAGGTATTGATTTAAGTAAGAAAGAATTTTTAGCTGCAGCTAAAGAAGTAACTTTTGCATTTAATGTTGTTATTCATAATGTCATCTTTAAGTTACTATTCATTTAAATTATTATGAAGCTGTGTGATACAAAGCTTAGACTAGATAGAACAAAATGTGTAGCTGTCATTGTTAATATGATTAAGCCACTGTTATGTAAGCAGCTTCACAGAAATTTAAATAAAACAAAATTTTTGATGGTGCCATTTGATTCTTCCAAAAGGAAATAAATTTAAACTGTGCCAGTTGTGTATGGTATTTTGTACTGGGTTGTCACATAAAAGTTACCTTTAGTCTTTGAATTAATTTATGAGAAAATTTGAAAAACATTTAATATCAGTAATAAAATTTTAAATATTTGCAAAACATTTAATATCAGTAATAAAATTTTAGAATGCTACTAAAACTTATTGGATTTTGTGGAGAAAATTGCAATAATAGTGGTGTTGTGAATATTTACAGTAGAAGTAGGAACATTATTTATAGTAGTAGTTGTAGAAGGAATTACGAAGGAATATCATTGCCGTTGGTTGTGGTTTTTTCATCATATACACTTCATGGTATATTACTACATGGTATACAACTACCTTCAAGCTGTCATTTGATATTATGCCTATTGGAATACAAGCTTTTGAAGTTATAATTTATATCCCCATGTTTAAATGATTTGTGTTGCCCAAGTAAAAGAATTTGGGAATTTGTGGATGCAGAGTATAAAAAGCTTCTTCAACATGGCAACACCCACTTTCTGTCACTTCTACTGAAAGAATACTTGAAATCTCTAAAAGACTGGAATCTTTATTTTATTTCACAAAAATCTAATCCCGCCCAGTGCTGATAAAACATTTTTTTGATAAGGAATGTAGTAAAATGTATTTGTGATATGTGCAAAGACAGCTCAAGTTATTTAAAAAAGATGTCTTGATTATATAAAGTGATTATTAAAGTGAATACAACTGATATTGTTAGTGAACTTAGAAAAGTAAAAAGAAATCTTGAGCAAAGGCATGATAATAAATTTATGTCTCAAGGAGGGGAGGAGCTTTAGAATACTAGAAGAATAATGGAAGTATTAATACCAATTCAGTCCTACAAGAATTAACAGCATTCTATGAAAAATGTCTTTCTTAAATTGAGCTGTCGAAAAATAATTTTGATGGAACATAATCTTTTATTTTGAGTAAACAATGAATTACCCTAGTCTGAGCTGAAGCTTCAGGTGAAAAAAAATTGATGAAACTGTCTGCAAAAACAAACTTATTGTAATATCATCGTAAACATGGATTTACTTCATGGTGAAGTAATGACTACAAAATCTTCTTGGGCGGCTAACTATGAAATCTGGAAAAATACAAATTGTGAATTAAAACAGGTACATTTATGCAAAACATTACAAAACATAAATAATAGATAAATACAAAATAGATGCATTTCCGTTATTTCAAAGAAAAAAAATTCATTGTTCAAATTATGTAATACATTTTCAGCATCCCTTACACATGTGTACCAGTCAAAAAGAGTATTTTGGATAATGAATACCATGTGGTCTGGAAAAAGAGGAACCATGGCTGAATCAACCATGAAAATTTCAGTATACTGCAAAATTAACAATGAGGTGAATTTTTTGATGCCATCCAAAATAACAAAGAATTTTTAAAGAAAGTTCGTGTTAATGATAAATATTAATAACTTTTTACCAATTAGGTATGTACAGTTGAGTTGTACGTTAAATTAAAAACTGAATGTGATTAAAATTGCTTTTAATTCTTTGTTGCTTTTTGTTAATGACTTTTTAATTTATCCTTTTCAAGCACAGGCATTTTATCTTAGCAGGCTTTATTTTCTGTTGAGAGTATTTTCTTAAAATTGTTCTGATTGAAGGAAAAACAAATATTATGGTAAACTTAATCTGAGGTGGATTTTTTTATCTAATTTTTAACATATTTAGGCACAGGCATAGTAAAAACCAATAACAAATACAATTTTAGTACTTGTAGTGTACTGCCGTTTTTTCAAGATGTAATGTATTTCAAAGAAGTAGTGTATTTTGAAAATTTCGTTTGATTCTCAAATTTGAATAATTATGTTAAATATTAGATATTGTTTAATAATAATGCATTGTACTTGGAAATCTGTTTCATCCTTAGATTTGTATTAGGAAAGTCAAATTGGGGCTTAGGTAATTGCTTTAATTTATTCAATTTCCTGTTGCTGGTAGGTCCTTAATTTTTTTCATTGATGGTCCTTAGAAGTACTTAATTTCTATGCACAGAAATGTGTATGGATCATAACAAACTTAGAGGAATTGAAATTAGGTTTTCTAAATCTGATCCCATGGGAAAAGAATCCTGTAACAAACTTGGATGGATTGAAGTTAGGTTTTCTAAATCTGATCCCATGGGGGAAAAAGGGTTATTTTTCAAAAAACGATAAAAACTGACTGGTGAATCCCCTGTAACTTTTATCTATAAATTATGGTCTTCTCTATCTAAACATACAGAGTCTATCACATCACCAAAAGTCTTCCATTGCTTTTCTTAGAATTTTTTTCCAGTTGAGGTATACAACTGTGATATATACAATGAGGTATACAATGTCTTTCCTTTTCAGAATGTGTTAAATTGAACAGAATATACGTATTTACGACAGCCACGTCAATAACTCTTGTAAATATTGGCCAGTACCATTTTTTGCCCCAGATTTGAATTGTTTATTTTCTAAGAGCCAGTCGTGCTGATTGACACCACCCATATTTTTATTACATTGGCCTATAGTACTAGGTTGCAAAATTTGGGATTTTTTTTTTCAAACTATTATAATGCTTTGAAACCTGGGTAGAGGCTCTATGTAATCAAAGTTTGTTGCTGTTGTTATACACTTGTTATCCTTCCATTTAACAATAGTTATTTCATTCCTTTTGTCAAAACAGTAACCATAAGTACCATGATTTTGTTCTTAATATCTTATCAGTCATTAAAAGGCAAGAAGCAGTTTTGTTGTTTCTAATTGTGCCCGTGGCTCTGAATGCATGTGTTTTTAGTTCAACCAGCAGCTCATATGAATTAAAAAAAAAATTGTCAAAAAATAAGATTTGGCTATTGGAATCAATTACTGGTAATTTTTTCGTGTTCCAAGTGGTTCTTTCGAAGTTTCAGGAGTAATGTCAAAATGCTCCGCACCATAATATTAGTGAAAATTATAACATTACCCCTTTACTCCACACATGGACCAAAATGTATAGCCAAATTGTGTAGAAGAAATTATTTGAAAAAATTATGACCATAATATCTAATCATAATTTCATCAACAGACAAACTTATCGAAAATTTCAGTTTTTAAAAACTGTGATTAATATGCATGATTCATTTTCTTATTTTGAACACCTGGTCTCATTTTTGCATTGCTGCATAACTATTGTAGGCAAAATGGATTACAGATTTAATTTCTAAATATTTATTTCGAGACATTTTGGTACCATGAGATCTTATTCCTCTGACAGTAATCACATTCACTACATAAAGTTTGGTAGCCAGAGAAAATAATAATAATAAAAAAAAAAAAAAAACAATAAAACTCTTCAACTCATCAATTCTAACTGAAAACTCTAGCTTATTTCTCACTCTTTCGCATATCTCTTTGTTTCGTTTATTATAAATTCATAAAATTAGGGAGTTAAAAATTCTTAAAAAATTTCAAGTGGATTCATATTTTCTAAAATATTTGAAATTCTCTCAAGATTTTCACCAGACAAATTACCTTCTTCGTTAAAAGAATAAGTAAGGTTATGTTTGTTGAATTTACTTTTCGCTCATTTTTAATTTTTTTTTTTTTTTTTTTTTTTTTTTTATAATTTTGAACTATCTCGTTTTTTATTTTCATTACTGGAGCTAGATGTAGATGGCAGTTGCTCCATAATATTAGGTCCAAAATCATTTGCATTGTTTTATTAACATTGTTCTTTTACCTGTATTTCTTCCACAAGTAAACAAATTTCTACATTACCTGACATATCTTTTACCGATGGAGTAATCATTTCACCATTATCAAAGCACTCTTCATCAGTTAACTCATCCACATCAGGTGGTAAAACAATTATATCTGACTCAATCTCCTTAGAAAACATACATTCTAATGCTTCTTTGATGGTGTGAAACACTTAACGGGCAGGCATTCTGTGAAAAATGGAAAGGGGGATTAAAAAAAAACAGCATTAGTTACCATTAACGTCCAGCGATCTGTTTATAGATCAGCATGTTTAAGCTAAAAATTTAATTATATAAACAGTTATTTTTCTAATCTAAATAACACAGAACAATTAAAGAGGTATTGAAAATGTAGAACATGTAAGAAAATTATAACTTACTTTTATTTGTTTTTCCTGTTGGATACAAAATTGAAAGCTGCACTATGAAGCATCACTTGGCTAACTTCAGACATTATCTGCCTGCTGGACTGATCTGGGAAGGAATGTTTCAAAACGCCTTTGGGGCTGTGGGCACATGTGTAAGGAAATCAGCCAATAACAAGAAGTGATTAAAAGATATTGTTCTCAGTGGGCATTCTAAAAGTAGGTAATGTATAAATAGATCATTGGGCAGTAATAGGTTAACATTGTCACATCTGCAAAAGGAAGCGAGTAATAGATCTAATTTTTTTTAAAAGATCATATTAAGGATTAATTAGGTACTGAATGCAATAATTAAATTTATTTTCCACTTTTTCACCATGCATTGATAATTTTACAAAGCCATAGTTAAGATATTTTCCTTGAAATACATATATCCCTCTAAAATAAACAATTATAGTTATAAATAATTATTTTTGTGACACAGTATGATCTCTTAAGATATGCTTGATGTGTATCCTGATTTTCCAAAAACTGGGTTTCACATCTCCCTCAAATAGCCTTTGTTTAACAGGAAAAAAAAAAAAAAAAAAAAAATTAGTGAAGTTAAAAGAATTGCAATGTAAAGATGTTTTTCACTATCCTAATAAGCTTAATATGGATGATTTGGGGGATTGTTGTATTTAATTTTAGTACGTTTCCAGGTTTGCTGTATTCAAATAAAACATTATATGTATACGAAGTTTGACAACACCAAAAAGTTTATTTTAAACTGGGTTTACTATAGCAAGGTTTGACCATACCATGAGATTGGACTATTTAGTAGATTATTAATTAGAAATATCCTGGAAAAATAAGTAGACACTTTATAAACTTTATTTTGGAATTTTAAAAATGAGACGCCTTAGAAAAATTACTTATCTAGGAACTTTTCGTATTGATTCTAATAGAACTTCTATTAATCTGATCTCTATTAATTTAATATCTAATTATGTTGTGCATTATTAATATATTAAGTAATGCATTATAATAAAAGATGTAGATTACATGAATTGAAGATGACAGTAATATCAACAATCGGACATCAAATGACAATGAATTTGTAAGTATGTTTAAAGCATAAAAGAATGTGAAGACATTCATCAAGATAATGTTTTCGAATAGATAAATATAGAAAATAGTTAACCAGGTTTTAATTGATGAAGAAATCATTCACATCTTAGATCTGGAGAGCAATAAAAATGGCAGCAATGGGTGCGATGCTGGGGAATAATCTTTTGTTGATAGAAGTGTGTTATGCTCATGTGATAGCTGATAATTATAGGGATATTGCAGAAATGGATAATAGATGTAAAAAAAAAAAAAAGTGCGTCAAAAATAAATGTAAAATATTTGACTAAATTTCACAGTGTTGCGTAAATTTTGATGGAGTTTGTGTAGTACCATGAATTTTGTCCTGAAATAAAATCTTATTTGAGTTATTTGTTTAACTGAAGGAAACAAAATTTTATTTACTGCTAAAAAAATTGTTAAAATGTTAATTGTAAAACTTATTTTTAGAATTCCAAATAAACATTTTCAGAAAAGTTTCAAAAGAAAAATTGGTACGATTTAAAATTTAATCTCTTGAACCAAGTTTTGATTATTCAAGGTGGTTATAATACAAGTATCCTCAGGTAATCAAAGTTCTGCTGTACATTTAAATAAATCTAAGCAAGTGGTAATAGATTTATATTTTTACAGGAAGAGCTGGCAGAGTTGATATTGGTAGAGTGTACAGAATGGTTCCTAGGAATTTTTATGATGACCTTCCTGAATATGGCACACCTGAAATCAAGGTAAACTTTGTTATTTAGTAGATTTTATCATGTATTTGTATGACTTCATTATTTTGCATAAAATTTTGCTTTTCTTTTGATGCTTAAGTGCTATATATAAGAGAATGCTAGAAACACTTCTTCAACTCCGATAAAATTAATATTTATTTACATTTACTCATTTCAAATCTTGCAAACAGAAAAATCAGCCTCATGGTGGCTTAACTGGTTTTCACACTTCTGTTTAAGTAATTCCTCTGTAACTTAACTCTATCAAAAACTTGATGATGACTCAAAAAATCAGTGTGACTGAAGCAACACTACACACCCCCTTCCCTAATCAAAATACCAACCTTGGTCAGATGGTATGCGATTTTGAATTCCAAAGTGTGAAAACCAGTTATAAACCGAAGCTTTAGCCATTTATTCTGCTGATTGATGTGCTAATGTCACCGCTTCAATCCATTGTGCATAACAAGTGGTGATATTTAGAAGATATTTGAATCCTTTGCAAGCAGGTAACGAACCAACCAAATCTATTGATTTAGAAGTCAAACAACAAAAATCAGTGTTCTATTTTTAAATTTTCACATGAAATTTCATGCAATTCCTGTGAAAATTTGCGAATATAACGCTGATTTTGGTTGTTTGGTTTTGGTTGTAAATTAATACTTGTTTGGCATGTTATTTTATCTTAATCAATGAAATCTATATTTAAATCCTGGAATCTGTATAAAGTGTTGTGAATTCTCCCAAAGCTGACTGTGTATCTCTATGGATTTCAGACTGTTGGCATGATAAACACAGGGTTGCCACGCTACCTGGAAAACCGGGAGAACCGAAAAATGTCAGGGAATTCGAAAATTGACCAAACAATTCAGGGAAAAGTCAGGGAAGTTCATACAACGATCCCGCCAAAAAAAGCGATTTTTGCGCTGATGTCGGAAGAGATAACTTTTTTGGCGAATTGTGTATCACGTGAGTGTCATTCGGGCAGCTGGCATAGAGCCAATTTTCGCAGCTCCAATTTGATTGTCTTTTAGAAAGAAAGGCAAAGCAAGTTTCCTGCAGCTTTTGGTTTCTCGAGAATTGCATGTGCAGTGCATGAACTAAAGAAAGTACCTGTTCTCGTATAAAACAAAGTGGGTTTAATCCTAGTATATGGTACCATGGAGGTTAGAATCAAAGCAAATATTGTAAGAAGGAAACCTCTTTGCAACAGACGTTGCTCCATTCCATCATAGAGGGAAACAGCTGTGCATGCGTGATGTATCTGTCGCCAAAGCTCAAAACCAGGGTCGAATTTCGAACCAGTGTATTTAATTACGTTATCAAGAGTTCATAAAATGAATGTCGTTTAAAATTTCTTTAACCACTTGCGCTAAAAAGACGTGTCACGCACGTCAAGATGCTTTTGTCTCAAACTGCGAGCGATGTGAACACCACGTCGATAAGCATTTATCGCAAAAATGAAAATAACGTGGTGCACACGTCACCTAACAACAAGATTGTTTATTTCTTGAGTTACAGCTCTGGATTGCACTCGCAGATGCGGAGCGGCGTAAATGAGACACTTTACCGCTTGTTATATTTGTAGCGCACGGCACCGCAACCGTGAAGTTTAGTCTTAGCACAAGTGGTTAAACTAAAGGAAAAGAAAATATTTTTTGGCACAAGTAAATTAATTCATGGATTAGTTATTTTCAGGGAAAAATAAAACTACGAAAATCCGTTTTTAAAATTATTGCGAAAAATCCAAGAAGAAACGTCCTTTGATAAAACGTTTCTTCTTGGATTTTTCGTAGCTTTCTTTTTGTCAAAGAATGTTTCTTCTTAACACGTGTTTTTCAATTTCCGGTACACATCGTGGAGAGGGAAATTCTGGCCGCTAGGTTCTGTCGCCAAATCCCTTGGGAAATTTTTCCTCTGCATTCTAGCGGCGTAAGAGCATTTTACTTGTATGGAACCTTTTCTTCTTTACATACACGTTCTTTAGTTAGAATAATCTCCATGTATGGTACAATGGGATTTGGCGATATGATGATGCGCAGTAAACGGTTCATTTTGGTCTTAGCGACAAGTTTCAAAATCGTGCCAAAGGCCTTACCGTATCAGGGATAAATAGAAAGGGCTAGCTCATTTCTTTGTTCGACTCCTCGCCGGCGCGAGCCTAATGGGGGAACTTAACAGGCAGTAATCTGACGTCACTGTGATGCCACCTGTTCTGAATTTACTGAGCGTTTAAAACTGTAGTTTCATTCAAAGCTGCGAGACGAATTTTCTAGGAGGTTACATATCCCAAATTAATTTTAATCATATATATAGCTGTTGTTCCTAACAATGTAAATATTAAAAGTAATTTGTATGTCATATAGTTTTAGTCAGTTTACCTTTTAGAATTCTATACTGTAAAATACCGTTTATGTAATGTAAAATATCGTTTTAAATTCTATACTGTAACAAATTGTATGGCTTTTTGCGCTGTAGCAACATTGCCGTAGCACTTACAGAAGTACGGAAAGGAAGAGATATTGTATTTCATGCTTTCCCAAAGGATCCAAATGAGATTTTGCTTTTGACGAAAGGAATGGTAATACACAAATGTCAAAGACAAGATTTTATTAATGCGAAGAGCGGAAAAATCTGCAGCGAACATTTTCTATGCTATGTTTATGAAGGTGATATGAAAAATCGCTTGTTTGGATAGCCACAAAAAGAAACTGTTGAAATGGAATGCTGTGCCGAAAGTAAATTATGATGACAATAATAAGTCGAAATTGATGACAATAATAAATCAAATTTTAATGATTTTGAAATAAAACTCACAAATAAAAATGTAGATATTCCTGAATGCCCTAATTTTAAGGATAAACAAGAATGCATTGATAATTTGAAGAACAAAATAATATCCCTAGAAAATTGTATTAAAGTATTGAAAAATAGGGAAAAGAAAAATTTTATAACGTTTGTTCAGCGGCAAAGAAGGTGGACGACATCTAGAAAGAAATTAAAGGTATCAGAAATTAAAATCTCAAATAGCGAATTTGGGGGGGGGGAAGCACAAATCCGAGAATTTGGAAAAACGTCTAACGCCTAATTTTATAAAGACGCAGATTAATGCATTGCTGAAAAAGAAGGAAAAAATCAGGTAGTACTAGTGAAAATATTTCACGTTGTATTGTCATAAGAGTTCTGTCATCTTAAAGCTATAATTTTTGGAAAGAAAAAAAAATTGGTATATTTTTATCTAGTATTAGTAAATTAAAGAAATGGTGCGCTAAATTTTAGTGTAGTCCAAGAATTCAAAGTGATGTTCTTACTCTAAAGAAGGAAAGAGGCGAATATTTGTATTCTGTAGAAAAAATATGCGTTCTCAGTTTTGATAAAATGCATATAGATTGAAAACTCTGCTATGACTCTAAACTTTACCAAGTTCTGTGTTCTTTTCAAAACGTGCAGTTTGTTTTAATCAGAGGTCTCATTTCGCGCTCTGCCTCAAATTACTGAGAAACCACGTTTTAGATAAATGGTTTGTTTTAGAAGATGGAACTGTTTCAAATTTTGATATTATTAAAGAGGTTTTAAATAGAGATTGAGAAGAAATCATACTGTGTCACAAACTAAAACCGAATTATTTAATGGTCAAGGGAAACGAGAGACAAAAAGTCGCTCCAGAGAAAACATTATTTTCAAAAAGTACCGCAAAAGGTATACTCCACCCCACAGGAAATCAAAAAGCATCTGACTTCTATGAGTTAATCGATAATATCTCTGGTATTATGAATAGTACCAACAAGAATAACAAGTATTTAACAAACTAATTTTGTTAAGTACTTGTTAAAGTTATTCTTATTGTATCCCTTGTAACTAATTATTGATTAGATTTTGTGCTAGATTAGCATTCTAGATAAAATATAATAGTATAAAACATCAAAGTAATTGGCATAAAAAGACCTGCTTCCTTTACTCATACTTTTGAAAAATTAAAAGTACTGTATTAGATACTCTGAGTAAAGCTATTTTGTCAAATTAAGGTAACAATCTTATATACATTTATTTAATTGTTATATAGATAAGTATAAATTACAAAATTATTTTAAAAATATCTATTATTATATTGAATCGGAAGAGAATTATAACAATGTAAAATTTACAATTAGGCAAAAAATCAAACGTAGGTTAGCAGAAATGTTGCCATATATGTTTAAAACTGTCAATGTAAAATTGTTTTTTGAGTAAATTTAAATAGCTGCTATTATAGTTACCTTAGAAGCAGTATAAAAATTCTCTCAGTTAATATGCAGATAAAGAAATTATTAGAAATAAACATGTATTAAATAAAAAACCTGCAAATAAAAATAAAAAAAAAGTACGGAACTTTATGTTAAAAGAGTAGCACATTTTATCTATTATTTTAAAATTGAGTAAGTATTATTAAATTTTTTAATGGTTCAGTCTCAAATGCATAAAGCAGTAACATTGTCTCTTCCAAATTATAGCTATCTTTCACACACAGCTCATTTTAAATGCTGGGTCAAAAACGCTAATTTTCAAGCTGTGAATTGCATCTGCGCGGTCAGTGTCATCATGACTACATCATCACTTCTCACTTTCTGCTTCAGGGGGAAAAGCTCTATGAGCTAGCCCTTCTCTTCTAAGTCCTGTTACCGTATACTATAATTTTACCGCAAAATCTTTTTAAACCCTTTTTTTTTAAATAAATACCTTGCCATTTTGCAGTAAAATAAAAAAATAGTAATCAGTCATCTGGGCTAACCATGTAATATTATTCGCTAAAATATCGTTGATTATTCTAATTCAATTTTTAAGTAATTATCTTTATTTTTATGTTATTCATATAATTTAATGTTGCTTCTTCCCTCTAAATTTATTATTAGTAAATAATATTTCCAAATTTCAGGAAATTTTCTCTGGCATAATCCTGAAATTAATTCTAGCAGTATGATGACGTACCATCACGAAATTTAATGCACATATTTTTTCCTTATGTGTGCTGCGAAATAAATATAAAATACCTCAATTTATTAAAATAGATTTCTTTTTTCATTTAGCTGCAGAATGTCTGCAAAAAAAAAAAAAAAAAAAAAAAAAAAAAAAAAAAAAAAGCCTTATTTTATTCCAGATTGGGAAGATTCTAATCTCAATCTTCAGTGGAGAAAAAACAACTATTATATTTGTGTTTTCAAGTGTTAAGGTGCCTTTTAAGAACATACCTCACACAAATTAAATTTACCTAAAATCCAACCTAACTATTTAGTATTGCATTGTGATTTATAAGGACCGGATTAGCCTCGTCTTGAACTGGTGATGATCATGAGTAATAATTAAATAAAACATACATTTGTTATCCAATGTATATATCTTAAATTTTATTAAGTTTCTTAAGTGGAAAAGTAAACAAAATTATCAAACAAAGTATACCAAGAATAATTAAGAATAAATGTCCTCTGGGATTTATTGAATAATTAAGTGAATTTGCTGCACAATACAAGTAAATACCATAATTAATTTAAATCTTAGCACAGCAAACGTACATTACGCGGATAGACTGGAATTTTCTTGAAACACACCTGGAAAACCTGGAAATGTCAAGGAATTTCATTCTCCCGTTTGAGTGGCAACTCTGTAAACATGCTATAGTCCATAGCTGGCAGTCTTTAGTCATATTTGGACATATGAAACATTTTGTTATCAACTTACTGTGGATCTTATTCCAGGGTGAGATAAGTCATAAATTGATGAAAATATTTTATGCCAAAGTTCTGCAGGTATGTATGGATGATTATAATTTGTAGAAATATTGCAATAGATTTTTCTTGTTGCTCTCTGGTATAAAGATTTGGTAGATTTTTATTTTTGGGTTTACTTCTCAGTATTTCTAAATCTTCATCTTTTTGAGTGTCTGCCATAGTTTCTGCAGGTGTTCTATCTGCCATAGATTCCATAATTTTGTCTTCTGCAGATGGCACAGAAATGATGTCTATATAGGAGAGTGTGTCAGCAACTGTATTTTCATCCCTTTGGATGAATTGGATATCAGCTGAAAACTAGTCAGTGTATGACAGTTGTCTAGCTTGCCTTGGCAAGGCCTTTTTCCAAATCTTGTTGGAAAGTAAATGTTTTTTGTTTGTGACAGTGCATATTGAAAAAAATTGACCCTCTGAGACATGTTTGAAATGTTTCACAACTATATAGATGGCTAATAGTTCTCTGCCATAGCCACTATATTTTTAATGTGTTGATATCAGAGCTCGGGAGAAGAAATTCCAAGGGTTGTTTTTCATTGTACACAATCTGATGTAAAACAGCTCCAATGGCAGTTTTGGAGGAATCGGTTGTTAATGATATTTTGGCCTTTTGGGATGGGTGAATTCAATTGGTGGCATGAATAAGTGCATCTGTTAAATCTCGGAAGGCATGTCTGATTTCTTCCATCCATGCTATTTGTTTTCTGCAGTTCCTTTTGATACCACAGAGAAATGCTGTTAAATGCTATTGCAGTTTCATACAATTTAGTATGAATCTGAGAAAAATGCACAATACCTAAAGATCATCTTAAACTAGTGAATAACTTTGGTTCCAGGGAATTATTGATTGCATCAGTTTTCATTGGATGAAGTTGAAGTCCTTCAGCTGACACTTTGCATTCCAGGAATGCAAGTTTAGGTTCACCAAATTTAGATTTTGCCACATTAATGCAGACCATACTCGATTAGTTTCTCAAGGACTGCTTGTACATGTTGCCGATGAGTTTCTTCATCGGGAGAGTCTATGAGAATGTCATCTAAGTAGCAAAATACAAATTCTAGTCCATTCAGCACCTTGTTCATGGAACGTTTGGGCTGTATTGCATAAGCCGAACATAATGAATGGGAACCTAACCAAAAGGTGTGAGAATTGCTGTTTTTGGTATATCTTCCGTGTACACCGGAATTTGTTAGTATGCCTCAATGAGGTGTATGGATGAGAAAACTGTTATTCTCACTAAAATGTAAGTGCTGTCTGTAAAAAATGGAAGAGAGTATCTATCAGCAATATTATGTTTAATGCTCGGTAGTCCCCACAAGGTCTCCAGTCACCTGATTTCATCTTAGCAAGATGTAGTGAGTTCAACCAATTACTCTTGAATGGTCTGCTCGATAACCTCCTAGCTTTAGCAAAAATAGGTAGACCTCTGGTTTCGATGTAATATTAGTTGTGTTATGATTTTTAACTTTGTTATTAACAATGTTCAGTTTTAGCAAATCCGGGAAATCGTTAATAATATTTTTATTTGGATCATGTACAGCATTTATAATTGGAGTATTACTGATGTTTTGAAAACAAGGAGTTCCATTAATTGTTAACAATGTAGTGCCATCAATCAACTTGCGATTTTTGGAATCTACCAAAAGGGTAAAATTTGCAAGAAAATCCCTACCTATTATTGATCTGTTCACTTTCACAATTACAATGGGCGAACTGAACTGAACCATTTGCAGCAAACAGTTCTAATTTTGAGATGATTCTCATATCTGCAGGTAATGGAGGAATAACAGATAGTTTTGCCCTGTATCTTTTAAAAACTGGGTGGCTGATTCTTTGATATTGATGAAAAGATGGCTCAGTTCCCACCCCCTTGTCCTTCTGTCATCAGTGAGGAATGGGGGCCTTGTTTTCCAAGGTGTTTTTCTGTGATCCTGATGATAGGTTATGCAGTTTTTTACACTTAAAAAATTTTTCGCCGAATTTTTTTCGCACTGTAAGAAATACAGCATATGAATATTTATATAACAAAATTTAGTGTGTATTTTGGAAGAAACTAGATCATATTGTTGTTTTTGTGATTATATTTTTGTTTAATACAGCAAGCTATGAACTTTATAAAATTTTCTTTTTTCCCCCTCCCAGAGAGTTCCATTAACAAGCACAATTCTCCATGTGAAGAAACTGAACATATGTGAACCTCTGGAAATGTTAGCTTTTGCTCTAGAACCACCTAATATTTTAGATATTGAAAATGCAATAATACAGTTGAAAGAGGTATGGTGTATCAATAATTAGTCTTTCTCTTTTTGAAAAGAAATTGTTTTAAAAATCATCTTAATTAATAAAAATTTAGTTTGTTGAGACCATGCTTGTAATTATATGTGTATATTTCAAATTTTTAAGAGATGTAAAAATTATCCTTTCATAATTGTTTCATGTACAATTTAAAATCAGAATGATTTATTTGCAATTTAGAAGATAATTTTATGTTGTAAATTTGCTGGAAACATTGAAAATTCAAGTTAAAAACTGTAAAAATCAGCAGCTTTTTTTTTTTTTTTTTTTAATATAAAATACTATTATGAGAATGCTAAATTATACTCTAAATTAAAAAAAAAAACTATGACAATAGTACTACAAAGCAGAAACTAAATTAGAATAATAATAAAAGAATACATAAAAAAGAATACTTATATAAAGGAGATAGAATACAACAGTGATACAATACATTAATATGTCATGTAATCATACAAAGATAAAATAATAGTAAATGACACAAAAGATAATAATGCAATAATATGTAAAGAAATAATAATGAAAGTTTAAACAACAAATAAAGTTACTCACCTTAAATGTAGTTTTAAACTCACCTTAAATGTAGTTTTGGCACTCACATATAACCTTCAGTGCACTAAGATATGCTCTACCTCTTCCACTGCATTGCCATTAGCACGAAATCTACTGGTTACAATATTAAAACAAAATAAGTATTTTCTGAAATTCCCATAACTGTTAAAATCTGAGTTAGTTTATGATCCTACTAAATATGCTTACACTGAAATCATAGAAAAATAATTAATATTTAATCAGCAGTGTATGGAATTAAATATAAATATTGTTTTTCAGCCTGACATTTTAATTTTCTGTGAAAATTGAGTAATTGTTTAAAAGCTGTATTATTATTATTTGATGAAATATTATTTCACAACTCTATAGCACTTGAGTCACATAACTAACACTAAAAGTTTTCAATTCTTAGTTTTGTATACATTTATTTTCTTGTTTCTTTCAGGCTTTAGCTTTACTGGCAAAAGGATCAAATCCTTATGATGGTGAACTTACCTTTGTTGGTCAAGTTATGGCTAACTTGCCATTAGATATAAAGCTTAGCAAATTGATAATATTTGGGTTTGTGTTCCATTGCCTTGAAGAATGTATTGTTATTGGTATGTCCTTATTTCACACTTTTTATAAAATATTAATATTATGATATCAAACCAGTAGTTGATTTCATATTAAAAATTCTATACTGAATTAAAAATCAGAAGGAAAAAAAAAATGCATGCAATTTAATGTTACGGTACTTATACATTATTCCATCGGCCCTGAAAGTTGGCAGAGACCCAATCAAAGTTGCGCCATCATTCTTGCAGAATTCTGAACTGGTACCTTTTTATTTAATAAACAATTAGTGTTCAACCCATTTCTTTTTTTTTTGTGCTTCATAAAAAGGTTTCCTTTGTTTTCTACTATTTTGTTATGCTTTTTGACTTTACTGGAAGTTCTGATAGAATGCTATGATTACAAACTTCCCCTGCTAAATGTTCCAATCTATCGTTCTTCCATTGGCTATATTCAGCTGACTATATCATGACCGTTAATATACATTTTTTGATGGCAGGATTCCATAACTTTAAAAATAGTCTACTCCTTGCTCCTCTGTAGAAGGCAAGTTGCAGTTTTTCCCCCACAAATCGCAAGGGGGGAAATACATGAGTATATCCGTGTTTATAAAAACAAAATGGGGCTTATTGAGAATCGATCAGCATGACAACAAACAGAAGCACATGTGTTGTGAGTATGTTGTTACTTCATGCTTATCCATAACTGGCACTAAATCGCAATGCTTGATGAGTTTCAGGCTCAGCAGTATAATATGTAAGGACCAGTGTAGCTTTTATAAATACAGACTTGTCACTGAAAACATTTTAAAAAGAAATCAAATGCTTCTTCTCTTATGTGACAAATATAAGGGACACTAAAAAATTTTTCTTTGATACTTTAAATACTTTTTTTGATTTTTATCCTTATAAAAGTGAAAATACAAGTATTTTATATGTATAAATTTACATTTTCACACATTGGTTTTTTACTTTTTTCTTAGTTTAATGCTGTGTTGTGTCAGCTTGATTGACAAAGAAAGCCATAACTTATAAATTGTATTACAGAATTATTGGGGAAAAAACACTTTGGAATAACATCACTTATCAAATTGTTTTTTATTAATCAATTAGATCAATTTCCAATAACCTTTAATTGTAACAAATGATTAGCAAAAAGGATTTCTTGTGAATCTCACCATGGAAAATGTAAAATTGAATCACAATTATCTAAAAATAAATTTCTTTCCGTTTGTGCTATTCCAGAATTTCATAAGCACACGTCTCAAATTTTGATTTATATCAAACGATACCATTGGAAAAGCAGTTTGGATTTTAAAAAAAAAACTGATTTCATTGCAAATATCACTAAAAAAGAGCATTGTAATTTTTAGGTCATCAAAAGTGCAAAGCAATTTTGAAGATTCTTAAAAGCACAGAAGTAGTAAATATTAACTGTAATGACTTGGATATTGTCATAATTCCTTTACTCTGAATTAAATGTAGCTTATTCCCACGTCTTTAATAATAAGCTAGACTTAGGAAAATGGAATAATTATATAAATTGAAATTGCTTGCTTTTCAATAATTGTATGAAACATGACAACCAAATCCATTTGCAAATCAGTGGCGTATTTGTAAGCAATAATATGTCCTATCTGTCTGTAATCTTTCCTTTTTGTGAAATCTTATTGTAAATGTTTTTTTTTTTTTTTTTTTTTTTAAGTTTACCAATATATATGCAATGCAAAATAAAATAAGTAATACAATAAATTCCTCCTTTATTCATTTCAAAATCAAGCACGGTGGCCAGCTGCAAGGGAAAGGGAGCAAAACATGCTAAAACCAAAAATGAAATAAGAAATTTACATCTTTTTCTGCATTGTCATCAGAGAGTTGGTCAACATCAAGACATCAACAAGACATCAACCTGTTTCCGAAGCTATAAAGACACAAATTGTTAGTTATTTTAAGTTTAAGTTTGATTATTTTAAGTTTAAAACTTAAAATAATCAAAGTAATATGCATCTATAATAATAATATAATATAATCAATCCAGTCTGTACAGCCAAAGTGAGCAGTGTAAGAAATTGCAATATTTTAGCTTAAAATAATAATAATAAAGCATAAAAATATTATTTTGAGCAGACCAAGTGTGAAACCGGGGTATGAAAAAATAAAAATGTGTAAATTTTGAAACCGCACAAGTGGGGTTGAATAATTAGAGTATCAAAATAATAAACAAGCAAATATGCTCAAAAGTCTAATTAAAAAAATTTTCAGTTTAAGTGGATCTAGTCGAAAATAATATAAAAATACAAGCAATCCAATGTATAAAAAAAAATAAAGGAAAATTTTATCTAAAAAACATAAAATGAAAAGAAAAGTAAGTTGTTAAATTTTGTAACATTAGATAACAAAAGTTTTGAGATGAAGAAATGTAATTGACCTGTTTAATAGTAAAATGCTGTTTCTAAGCCTTAAATGTCCAAAGTACTGAATTTAAGAAATCTAAGAATTTTAAACTAATTAATATTAGTAAAAATAATTAGAAGAAACTTCTATTGTAACATTAAATATGTAGTAAAAATGAACAATTTGTAAAAGGAAACCATGCAATTACCTGGATCACATTAAAACAAATCTAAAAATAATCCAGATGAATCCAAAGTTCAAGTGAATGCTTAATTTTATAATGGTTATTTCTGGATTTCTGTTAGGATTTATAATCGAGATAATTTGATGTTTTCCTTTTTACCAAATATTCGTTTTTGCTACACAATATTTAATGTTATGATTTTAATTATTTTTATTAATATTAAGGAATTTTAAATTCAAAGTTTTTCTAAATTCATCACTTTGTACATTTTAGGCTTAACAGCAGTATTTTGCTACGAAAACAGATCAAATATGTTTTTTCACTGCAAAACTTTTGTTGCTCATTTCTTTTCTTTTTTTTCCTCCCCCCCCCATTGGCAGGACTTAGGCTTGCCACTACTAAAGGGGGAAACTGTGGCCACTTTATTGTGGAGCACCTAATAGATAAGCCACCATTACCTCCTGTGAAGGAACATGCAATTACAGCCATGTCTTATCTGGGATTTGAACCCAGGCTCTTCAGTATGCAGTAGGCTGCTCTAACCACTATACTGTCTGGGTGGCTTGTTGCTGTAATGTTTAAGATTTTAACAACTTACGTTTTTAAGATCAAATTTTCATTTATTATTTTTCCATGTGTTGGATTGCTTGTGTTTCTTTCTTTTTTTTTTTTTTCTTTTTTTTTTTTTTTTTTTGGATTTAATGTGCTCAATATTTTTATTCTTTTTTTCTTATTTGTCTCTAGTTTTGTGTCTAATTTTGCAATTTTTTACACTGCGTACTTCATCCTGTAGGGGTTGAACTGATAAAAACAAAGATTACTTTGATTGCTTTTGTGAGATTGTTTCTGATTTGTTTAAATTTTAATTTCTGTTTTTATTGGTTCAGAAACAGGGTGGTTTAATTACGTCTTTCATTGCACCAACTTTCCGATGATGATGCAGTGAAGAATGTAAATTTCTTATTTAATTTTTGTTTTTTTATGTTTTGTCTCCTTTTTTCTGTAGTTTGCCATTCTGCTTCTGTTTTTATATCTTTTAATTTATTTTGCATTATTACCATCATATTTGGTGCTTTCAGAATGCAATGACATTAGGTTTTGAGCTACTTATTACTTTGTATTTATACATATAGTAATGATATTTTTATGAATAATTCTAATGTGTTGAAAAATGCAATATGTATCCTGGGTGCCTCAAGTTAAACACAAGAAATAATTATAACAATGATATTCGCTTCCTTATGCGCAGAACATTGAAGAATGAAATTCATAAACTTGACAGTACACATTTTAGTAATGAAACACTGCTAAACATAATTACTCATCAGTTATCCAAATGTGAGTAGTATCACTCAAAACATCTAGATATTGTTTCTTATATTATTTTGATTTTGTATTTTTAGTAGATTTAAATACAAACCTGAATTATTAATATGATCATAGATTTCTAATGTAAGAATGGATCCCCCCCTGAAAAAAAGATTACAAGGGTAATATAAAATACTTGTTAACAATAGGCAAAAAATATAAGAGGGAATTAAAAGGTCTACTTTTCTGTCATTTTTTCACATTGTCACTAAATCTATTTAAACGTTTATCTAAACACAGGACCAACTTGTTTAACCCGACTGGTAGAACTCACGTCCCTGCCCATTGAGCCAGTTCTTGACAGCTGTTGTCACATTGCTTTCTGAAGAGAACCACATTCCAGATAAATGTTCCTTCAGTTTAGGGAAAAGGAAATAGTCACTGGGTGCTAAATCTGGGCTGTATGGGGGATGACCTCAGACTTACCTCTTTTGCAACAAGTTTTGAGTAAGTGAGCAGTATATGGCTGGGCATTGTCATGCAGAAGAATGACACTATCACTCAACATGCCAGGGCATTTGCGTCGGAAAAGTATTCCATTCACAAGAGTACTTTTCAAATGTTGATGCTTTTAACTTCCCCCCCCTCCTTTCCCGAATCTGCTTACATGCAAATCTGATCAAAGATCTGTAAATTGTACTCTTATTTTTTTTCTTCCCAGACAAAATAAATTAACCAGTTTATCTTGCTTGGTGCAGTTATCCTTTTTTGAATATATTCTTAGAATATTCACAGAATTTTGAAATAACTCGGGATTAAATTCTGTTATCCATTTTACCTCCATAAATTTAATATTCTGTGATATTTTATGGTGTATTATTTGAAATCGGGATTGATTTTTTGTTGTTTCCTCTACTGCATAAAAAAATTTTAATACTTTTATATTTTTTGACATGCATTATAAAGTTAAATTTGATTTGACTTAATCTAAACATTAGTCTAGCCTTCTAGATTTTGTGACAACTGTCCTATTTTTACTTACTTTTTATAACCAGAATGCTGACTATAACAATATTAAAATCTAAAGGATTTATTTAAGTTACAGAATTTTACAAAGTTTGTGGTGTTAAAATAAACCTTACACCATATGATATTTTTGCATTTTAAGTCAGAAGTTGCAATTTAAGTCAGAAGAAATTAACTCAAGATTATTATTTACTACTTACTCTTCTATTAGTTAGAAGTTTCATTCTTAGGCAAACATATGCTTTTGGTTTTGCTGGTTTACACTGATAATAAGAATAATAACTTCCATAATAACTTCTAAAATTTTAATCTGCCTGTTGCCCTGACTAAGACTTAGGGCAGCAGGTAGGTTAAAATTTAAGATAAGATTTAGGGTTACAAGTATGTCTGTAATTTATGTGTAATTACATTTATTTTTGATTCCTTTCATCCTGTCTCATTCTGTACTGCTATGGGTTTTAAATATTTCTTTTTTTTTTCTTTTTTTTTTTTTTTAATTACAGCTGCAAGTTTATCATTGCAAAGTTTCTTTGCAAGACCATTTCAGAAGGCATTAGAAGCATATAGGTAGGTTTGTATATAAGTGGGGGTTATTTGAATTTTTATACATTTATTTTTATGCAGTTTCATCATGAATTAAAGACTATTTTTAATTATAGTTCTAATGCAGAAGTGTAAGTAGGATTTTTAGTGTCTGGGGACAAATGAAAGCATGCCCCTTCCTATTTGCCAAAATTCAATGAGGAAGAAAAGAAAATTTTAGAATGCTCCACCTGGGGACAAATATCCTCCTTTGCCCCCCTATCCACCTAATGGTACAGAATTACCAATTTGAACTGAGTGGATGATGCTATTTAGAACTGTATATTGCTATAAAAAAATTGTATAAAACAGATCCAGAATAGCAAGATAGAATTAGGCTTCCCAGAATTTTATTGCAGTTAATAAAAATGAGTAAATGTATTTGTGACCTTTTTTGACATTATGACCTTTGATTGTGGTCTGATTGTTACTAAAAATGTATGGTTATACTATCTGTGAAAGAGCAATAACTGAAGACTTCTCCAAGGAAATGAAAATAAGAATGTACAATGTACACTGCAAAAAAAGAAGACAGTTCTATAGCTCCGGTAGTACTGGGCCGATTGACAAAATTCAACTTGCGTTTTTCATGTCTTGAAAGTGAAACTTAGGATATGTATTAGATTTATATATTATTGTATTAGATTTATATATGTATTAGATTTGCTCTAATATAGGTATTTTGACACAGAAATCAAGACTTTTCTGAAATAACATACCAATTTTTTGATTCTACGACTCAAATTATGCCAGACTACTGTAAATTTCCAGAAATCCGCAAAGCTTGGGACGAGAGGTTGTGCGGATTTTAGAATTTTGCAGGTTTTAGGACAGAAAGATAAAGCATAATATTTGGATTAAAAGTGCAAAATGAATAAGGCATATTAGATACATTTAATTAAATTATTATATACATTATTGCAATAATTTATTATATGCATTAAATTATTATTACATATATAAATGGATTATATTATTCGTTGTATTATATGTACACAGCATCGAGGTTTGCCGATTTCTCCCTCATGCAGAGATTTCAGGTTTCGGATTCCGGTGTTAGAATCACTGTTGCTGTAAAATTTCAACAGCTTTTCTTTATTTTTCCATATATCATACACAATCGTGTCGCAATTCCATACCATTCTGCTATAAATCAAGGAGTAGCACCTGCTTCCATCTTTTGCAGAATTTGCACTTTTTGTGTTACCGTCAATGTAACGTGTTTATGTTTTTCAACGCTGCAAGCAGTAAAGTCACGAGTGCGTTTCTTATCTGTCTTTGTATTAAAAAGGGCTGAAATTAAAAATATTCTTAATTTATCCACAAAATATCCGGATAAAATAAAGGCAGCGCTAAACAATCTCGTGAAATGAGATAACAAAGCTCAGAAAATACAACAACGTGAATCATGAACTTGAACAAAGAGTCGAGTGAATCGTCTGCTTTTTTACCTCGATGCAGATTAGAGGGAAAAACACTTATCTTATTTATTTTATCTTATTTTTTTTAAAACTTTTTTATATCATTAATTTGGTATTTCCGTTTTGACTCATTATTATTCGGTAATATGACGTCGTTATTCGGTAAGTATTTTTTTTTCTTCGATATTTTGTACTCAGTGTTATGTTTTTTGGAACCTATAAACTGAATGTTTATATTCTGAGAGGCAACGCGGATTTTCGGTATTTGAGTGTACTGAGTTTTGTAAAAATTGCACTAGTCGTTTTTAACAAATTGGCTCTCAAAATTTTAGCTCCTCAATATTAATTGAGTTTGGTATATATTCATTAATCTCTCTTTCTTTTATTAAACTTATTTGATTCTTCCTTTCACATTAAAAAATTTAGGTTCATTCCAAATAAAATTCACTCATTTTTTATGATTTATTTTTAAAATTTGCATTTAAAAATAATTTTTGTAAATTTTAAAAAAAATTGAATTATAATTTATAAAATTTTTACCATCATTTTGAAGTAGACGTATTTCTAAGCATACCTGCAAAAAATTACAATTTTTTATTCAAAACTTCCGAAGATATACGTGAATTTATATATTGACGCATTTTGAAATTTGGCATATTTGTTGAAAGCGATAAAACATCAAATGTGGTTTAGACACTTTGCTAAAATTATTTGAAAGTAGAAACAGACTTTTTTTCCCCGCTCATACACGATGTAAAAAGTGCAGGAACAAAGTGCTTCCCCCCCCCCCGATCCGATCCGGCATATTGGAAGGGAAAGGGAAATTGGTTACCATATACACTGCTGGACATTGAAAATGCAACACCAAGAAGGAGTGGTCAGAAATTAATGCAAATTTTAGAGTAGACGCACGTCACTGAGTTATGCGAATGATGTGAAATGCGCAGTTCTCCATGAAGTAAGATATAAGGGAAGGAACGTGCAGAATGGGCAATATTCGTGTCGTTATTTCTCCCAGATGAATTATCGAGGAAAAGTCGGTTTTTGTCCTGGGGAATACGTGTAATAGGAGAGAATGGCCAGGCTGCCGTCAACGAAGGCACTTCCAACAGATAGACGATTTTACACGAGGGGTATGGTGCTCGGTCTGAGAAGGGCGGGCTGGTCCTTACATCAAATTGCAACTATACCCACATGGATGTGAGCACGGTGTATCAGCTATGGCGAACATGGTTGGAACAAGGAAATGTGGGAAGAAGGAGGGATGCAGGTGCAGCCAGAGTGATGTCAACACGCGTGGATTGACCCATCCGCCGACAAGCTGTGGCGATCCCGCAAGTCACTTGTACCGCGATTCAGTATAATGTGCAAGATACCCTGGATGTTCCTGTGTCGACTAGAACCATTTCCCGTTGATTGGTTGAACGTGGCCTACACTCACGGTGTCCGTTAAGAAGACTGCCATTGACCCTACAACATAGACGCCAACGTTTAGAATGGTGCCAGATTGGAGTGATGTGGATGACAGAATGGCAAAAGGTCGTGTTCTCAGATGAGTCACGCTTCTGTTTATCCAGTGACAGTTGGCGCATACGTGTGTGGTGTCGACATGGGGACAGATCTAATCCAGCACTAACTGTGGAATGCCCCACCATGCGACAACGTGGCATAATAGTTTGGGGCAATGTTGCCTACGATTCCAGGTCACCTCAAGTTCGTATTCAGGGCACTTTGACGGCCCCATGCCTAATGCAATTTTTCAGCAGGATAACGCCCGACCACTCAGTGCTTGCATCTGGCAACATGCTCTGCAAGGTATACAGATGCTTCCCTGGCCGCCATACTCTCCTGACCTGTCACCAATCGAACATGTGTGGGATGTGATTGGACATCGTTTACAGACTCTGGCCCTGCCTCGTTCAGAAGATGAACTGTGGCAAATGGTTGAAAGGGAATGGAGAGCCATCTCTCAGGACACCATCCACTCTCTTATTGAATCTATGCCTAGATGTGTTTCTTCGTGCATCGCTGTCTGCTGCAGTCCTACATATGCCGTTCTCGCTCTGTATTCTGACTATCATTTTGAAATAAAGATCACTTATTGCTGCTTGCTGTCTCTTTTTTCCAAATTTCATCACTTTCTGACCACTCCTTCTTGGTGTTGCATTTTCAATGTTGAGCAGTGTATTAAGAAGTTCGCCAAGTGAATTTTTCTTGTCCAAACTGAAAAAATTTTGCCAAGATAAATTTTTGAATTTCTCTGTAAATTTCACATCAAATTTTACAAAATTTAATATCTGGGCATAATTTTAGTCGTAGAATCGAAATATGGAAAAAATTGGTATGTTATTTCAGAAAAACTCCAATTTTGTGTCAAAATACCTATGTTAGAACAGTGAGTTAGAAATATATGTAAGATAAAAAATATGAAGGCAAACTTCTAAACTTAATTCAGTGGCGTAGCAAGCATAACTGGCGCCCGGGGCAAAATAACTTTTTGGCGCCCCCCCCCCCACAAAAAAAAACTTTTAGTAATATAAGGTATAGAATATATTCGTAATAAGAAAATAATGCAAATAATAATAAAATGCTGAATCTGCCATAAAAATACTCAAAAATATATAAGATTAATCACTACCCTAACTGCCACTAGCCTTGGATTAGGAAATGCATCTGTGTCAGCGGAAAAATCTGACCTACGATGATCTAGAATTAGTTAAAAAGGTGTTATTAACTTTACATACATATCTATAAGTGTTTTTAAAAAGTACAATTTTTAAACAATTAAAAGTTTAATATACATTATAGGTAAACAGATATGTGGCAAGTTGCCTACTACAACTTAACTCTGCCAGTCTGATAACCCATAGCAACCAAAAACAAAAATAATATTTGTTCCATTCAATTGTTATAATTGTTTAACGATCTGTCTCAAAAAATTGTACTACCATATTTGGTGACACGTATTTATTACGACTGGCAACCTTCAATGTTGCACATGTATGGAGTTTATATGTCTAAATTCTGAGCAGCAGTAAGTTATCCAGTGTGATGAGATGCAAGTAAGACATTCACCTGTCATTTCAAGCTTTTTGCCGCATTCCGGTGAGTCAACATATTTCTGTCATAATTTCAGCGGATATATGTATCGTCTGCTGCATTTGAGCCTCCAATTTCTCTGATTTCAAGTACCAAGAAACTGTGTCACTATATACATACTAATTATTTTTGTATACATATTATTGCACAGCATATTCTATACATATTATTATTGCACATATTCGATACATGTTATTATTGTGCATATTCTATACATATTACTATTGTGTATATTCTATACATATTATTTATTGTGCATATTTGATTGATTTTAAATAGTTGACAACGATGCTGCTTCACAATTGGCGAGAGTGGCAGTTAAGCCACCGCCTTTTTGTCGCCGAGACCCATCGTTATGGTTTCATTCAATTGGATGCGCAGTTTAAATTTCACATTACTGCCGACGAAACTCAATGTTATACAGCGATCGCTGCGTTAGAATCAGAAGTACTGCAATCAGCTCAT